AAGAATTTATTCTATTTTGGAGAAGCATGGATTCATGGTTGAGTGTCAACAGTCACCAGTACCTGAAGCTCTAAAATTTCTGATGGGAATGATCACCCATGCCCCATCATGTGATATAAACATTGAAGAACAGAAATCAACGCTCAGCAGATAATCTTCAACAACAATTAGATGAAGAAACGTCGCATATCCAAGGAAACAACATTACAGTACCTCTATACAGGGGTCTTTTCCTCCGCTCACTGATCAGAAGTCAGGAGGCTGTGAACAGACTTGCACAATTTGGTCTGTAAGTCACCTTCAATCCTGTCCAGTATGTTGACCCCAAGCTTGCTCTGTCGGCAATGAGCAAGTTTGCTCTCGTTCTTCCTGGCCGCCGTCGTTGGCTTTTTTATAGTGTGCTGTCGATAACATTGGTTGTGATCTGTCTTCAACTATATGTCAGGAATTATTTCAAGGTACCTTACTCATCCATACACTGGTTTCCCGAGGTTGGGTTTAAAATTTCAGAAACTACAAAGCACCTTCAAAGGAAGCTTAGGAAGATCTCTCTGCGCATTGTTTGGGAAACCTATAGCAAGAAACCCATCAAAGGCAGCATTACGAGGTACAGGAGTGCGATTAACAACTGGCCAGATGGTGAAATTACCTGGAAAATGGTGTGAAGTCCTCAGGAAAGATATCTTCATCACATCACAAAGGTAGCTTAGCTGCATCACAAACATAGCTTCATGACAACACAAAGTTATCGTCATCGCAACACAAAGCAATCTTCACCGCAACATAAGGATAGAATCATAAGTTCAAAGATATCTTCATAATACAAAAATAGCATCGTAAGAACTCAAAAATAACTTAATAACAACACAAAGATAGTTTCATAATAACACAAAGTTAGCTTCATAACACAAAGATAGCTCCATGACAACACAAAGACTGCTTCATCGCAATACAAAGACAACCTCAAAACAAATCAAAGATATCTTCATATTAGAACATAAAGATAGCTTCATCACAACATGAAGACAGCATAACATGAAGCTAGCATCAGAACATGACGACAGCTTCATAACAACATGAAGATAGCTTCATAACATGAAACGTGTATTATGACTGTTAGGCTTGTTGAATACGGTTTCATGAAGGCTTCATATATTCGCCAGTTTTGCGTATTTGACTGAAAAAGACTGGCCTGGCATAGATGTTAAAACAAAAACTTGACTAAACTGCATTCTTCACAGCTGGGTCGAAATTGTATGAATCAGAGGAAGATGATGATTATGATGATAGTGATGTGGAGGAAGATGAGGAAGGGAAAGAGGAGGAAGAAGAAGAGGAGGAGGAGAACGTGTACAGAATTATTGGTGAGTTAGGTATCAAGGAGACTAAAGGAAATTGCGAAGGTGTTTCTTAACTGGCGTTTGCTGCCACTCACGCTAACTCTCTGGTAAACAGATTAGCAAACACTGAACGAGTCATTAAGTATCCCCGAGAGACTAGTAAACACTGAAGGAGTCATTAAGTATCCCCCGAGAGACTAGTAAAGACTGAACGAATCATTAAGTATCCCCGAGAGACTAGTAAAGACTGAACGAATCATTAAGTATCCCCGAGAGACTAGTAAAGACTGAACGAATCATTAAGTATCCCCGAGAGACTAGTAAAGACTGAACGAGTCATTAAGTATCCCCGAGAGACTAGTAAAGACTGAACGAGTCATTAAGTATCCCCGAGAACTAATAAAGACTGAACGAATCCCTCGAGAGACTAGTAGAGACTGAAAGAATCGCTAAGTATCCCCCGAGAGACGATACTTATATTATCATTACATTAATAATTTATTATACCAACCAGTTGATGAATAAGACACATGTACAACATCTGGTTATCTTAATTTATGAGTTTCGACAACCAATACTCTTCAGTTAAATACAGAGAACATTTTCTGAATACTGTGGACGAAGAGAAAACCAGTCCATCAGCCTTGACAGGTGTTCAGCCCCTTACCTTGATAAAGCTACAAGATGCTTATGGGTCCCCAAGCATCTGCTGTATTTTATCAAGACCCCCATCCCTTCCGTCAAGGCTGAGGAACTGATTACCTTTTTTGATACTGTCTTCTGTGGATGAAGAGGTAATCAGTACCTCAGCTTGGAGAAAAGGTGATCAATCCCTTAACCCTCATGTAATTAAAGCAGATGCTTATGACTTCAGCCTCAGGCATCTGGTTTATTTTTGTCACGACTAAGAGACTGAAAACCTTTCGTCAGTGTTGAGGGACCGATTACCTCTTCTTCCACTCCCTCCAGAATATAATCTCTGTATTGAAACTGAAAAAGTCACTGGTTGGCAAAACGTCTTCATAACTTAAGATACCCAGCTGTTGCACACATCCGTGATTTATTATCTTTTCTTCCTCTAGAGTTCCTCTACGACGCTAAAGCTAACCTATGACACTGAGCTTGACTCTATCATTATTACTGATTCTATGTCATCATTGAAGGCTCTTGGCTCATATAATGACTCCAACAACATGCTCATTGGGGAAGCCAGGTATAGATACTCAAAAATTAGGGACAAAGGAATTAATGTACAACTGCTATGGATCCCATCACACATTGGATTACTCCTTCATGATAAAGTTGATATGTTAGCCAAGAAGAGTATCCAGAAGGAGAACGTAGAATATAACTTTGGTATAACTGTGTCTAGCATTAGGAATAATATTAGGAGAGAAGTAAATAATGAAGATGAGTGTTATAGGAATGCAGTTAGAAGCCTGAGTAGATCTATAACCCACTATGATAACATGAACGTAGATAAGTATGTTTATGGAGCAACTTGCAATGTGAACAGACTGACTGATGTTGTAGTGGCCAGGCTTAGGCTTGGTTACAAGTACTTCTGGCAGTTTGGGAGACACACAGATGATGATCAAACTAAATGTAAATTATGTGATCAGGCATATGGTCACTCTCTTGAACACTATGTGCTTAATTGTCCACTTATTGAAGAATACAGAGACAGACAGTATAATAACCTATGTGACATGTCAAGATATCTTATTAATGAAAATAAGATACCAGATATACTAAGCAAATTTCCTAAATTTGCTTGTAACAGATAAGTGAACTATACATATGTAGATATAAATCCATATGTATTCCTGTTAACCCTTTGGGGCCTAGTTCCTAGGCATTTTGTGTATCCACATGCTCTCGCGCTACCGTCCACAGGATGGATATGGGGTGCACAATAAACTAGCCACTTCGGTGGCAAAATCTAAATCTACGACTACGTGAGAACATTTCTTCTCACTGACTTCAAACTTTCAACTAATTGATACCTTGTAGTGGCTGCCTGATTTTTTTTTTTCGTTTTTCTCCTTACTCCAAAACTGTCGATGAGTCAGACACATTTGCAGCAGTTGGGTATCTTTATTGTTGAAACGTTTCGCCTACACAGCAGGCTTCTTCAGTCAAATAGAGGCAGCAAATATAGTAGCGAAGTAAAGATGATGTAATCAGTCCATCAACCTTAGAGAAATAATATCTGGGGTGGTCAGTCCCTCAGCCTGAAGAAGAGTTAGCTCCTGGAGCTGAGTAATGTTGCTTGAGGAACAGGAAATTTTTACTGGAACACCCACAGTTCTGGAATTTTTTAAACTTTTGAAGCTGGTTATCTTATATAAAAAAATGTTAATTTTTTTCATCAGTCTTTGTCAGTTCCAATTTGCAAATATTATTAAAAAGAATTGTGCATCTAATTTCTACAATGTAATAGTTAAAATAAATGTAAGACTGCGCCTTTTGAGAGTGCTGACTTGCAACTCCTGTTCCTCTTGAAGTTGTTGATTTGCAGCTCCTGGGCTTCTTGGAGGACTGGGTTATAATTCGTTTATCCTTGAATGAGCTGAGCCGCAGCGCCGTTGCCTCTTATATATAAACAATCTTAAGAGAACAAGGAATTGGTGCTCATCGTAGCTTAAGACTCAGAAAATATGTTCGTAGTAACACACTAAGGTAATCAAGAGAGCGCCAAGACAAACTGTGAAATATATTCATTCACATTTTTCAACCTTATATTACTAATATGTATTGACATGTTTATCTGTAGTCTAATAATAACTTTTGAACATTATAACCTCATTACTTATCTTACATTAGTTTAATGGGGTAGATCCATCGTCATTTATTTTTGATCTACTCACTTCTTCATCTTCTACTCACTACGAAAGCAAAAGACTTGGCAGCGATGCACCATCCCCCCAATGAAAAGCAGGGGTGTCACTAGCACGTTAAGAGACCATACAATAAGTGTCAGGGGCCCGAGACTGTTCAACTGCCTCCCAGCATACATAAGGGGGATTACCAACAGACCCCTGGCAGTCTTCAAGCAGGCACTGGACAAGCACCTAAAGTCGGTTCCTGACCAGCCGGGCTGTGGCTCATACGTTGGTTTGCGTGCAGCCAGCAGTAACAGCCTGGGTGATCAGGCTCTGATCCACCAGGAGGCCTGGTCACAGACCGGGCCGCGGGGGCGTTGACCCCCGGAACTCTCTCCAGGTAAACTCAGGTAACAATATTGACGTCGTGGCATCATCCATGGAATGTCCTTTATTCTGTATTTGGCGTAAAATGCCGTATCCTCAAGCAGTCTAATTGGTTCTCATATCAGTGACGTCATTCCTTGCCCCTTATGTTAACCAATGAGAAGGGGGGCGAACTGACTATAATAAACAAATTTACTAACTTCTTTATATAACTATCACATCTCAAATCCATCTTAAATAATAGTAATTTGATTAAAATGCCTTTACTAAGGGGTTTGTCCCAAAACATTAATGAGTCACACATACCATGAGACGAACGTTTAAACTTTCTGAAGTTGTCAACACATTTCTTAAGCAACAAGAGCAGAAATTTACACTATCCTGTTAATATACGGTGCTCATCTCTCGTTTTCAATAAATGTCGGTGAGGAATTCACAAATAAAATCCTAATTTTCTAATGTTTATTTAAAATGACAAGAAAAGTCCCTAGTTGTGACAATCATGATTACAAAACAATTTAATAATTGGTGGCTAGTTCATACTGCAGTTATATACCAGAGCACATTTATGAGACTCCATAAATACAACTTTTGATGGGTAGTCCAAACACACCAAAGAAGAGATAGAAGATCATTTCATTATGAAGATTTCTGAAATCCTGGGGCTGAATTTATATTCTCAGCAACTAAAAGGTATTATAAGAGGTTACAAGCTTTGCAATTCAAAGATACAATTATTTACTTAGCTTGCTATGATGAAAACAATTCGTGATCCCTGCAATCCATTTTGTGGTAACGTTCAAAGGATCAGTTGTGGATAAACAACTGACAAGGAAATAACAATAAAAAAATGAAGAAACTATGAAGGGAGCTAGGACGCAGCACACAAGTTAAGACGCAGCAGACAAACTAGGGCACAGCGAAGTAGCTAGGAACAAAGAACGAGAACTCTCAGATGAACTAGTAGTAAGGTACCATCAGAGGAGTCAGGAGCTACAGCCCATCAGAGCTAAGCAGCAGCTCTCTCCCCGCGCCAAGGTGTCCAGTCAGGTTGCGGAATTTTTGGACTGTTGCACGGCACTGGCTGATTACTGAAAGCAAGAAAACATTCAGTTAAGTCCGAAATAAACAAGAAGAATAATGAATAATAAAAGGACTGATAAAGAATGTTTATGAAATTTATGTATGTACATGTTCCTTACTATGAAATATATGAAAATATTAGTGATCAAAATATTGTGCACATCTTCCTGTTATATTCAATAAGTTTTGATCTGGACATGACCATGATGGGTGGCCCCTTCAACAAAGCTAGCTACACTTGACTTACAATCTGTTGTTGGTCTGTCTGAAAGCTAGTGGCTGGACGGCGCCAACGTCAGAGTTGTCACATATGATCCTGGCCCAAGAGGAGCGACGGATCTGCTGCAACTGAGCTGTAAAACAAGAGTAATGTGGTCACTACTAGTTAACAACGAGAGTAGCATTAATAAAACAAGAGTAATGTGGTCACTACTAGTTAACAACGAGAGTAGCATTAATAAAACAAGAGTAATGTGGTCACTACTAGTTAACAACGAGAGTAGCATTAATAAAACAAGAGTAATTGGTCACTACTAGTTAACAACGAGAGTAGCATTAATAAAACAAGAGTAATGTGGTTACTACTAGTTAACAACGAGAGTAGCGTGTTAGGAGTGAATGGAGACGAATGGTATTTGGGACTTGACGAGCTGTTGGAGTGTGAGCAGGGTAATATTTAGTGAAGGGATTCAGGGAAACCGGTTATTTTATATAACCGGACTTGAGTCCGGTTATATAAAAGGAGGGGTTTGGGATATTGGCAGTTTGGAGGGATATATTGTGTATTTTTATACGCATATACTTCTAAACTGTTGTATTCTGGGCACCTCTGCAAAAACAGTGATTATGTGTGAGTGAGGTGAGAGTGTTGAATGATGATGAAAGTATTTTCTTTTTGGGTCACCCTGCCTCGGTGGGAGTCGGCCGACTTGTTGAAAAAAAAAATATACTAAGTACATACTCATACTTAACAGGAATATCTTACCTTCGCTGAAGGAGCCTGGTTGTCCTCCGAGGTCGTAGAAGTATCGATCTCCCTTCTTAAGTCTGGCGAACTGGTCTCCCACGACACACAGGAAGGTCCAGCCCAGGAGACTGCCAGGGACCGACCTCTCAGTGATTCCACCCACGAAGAAGTCAATATCATCAACGCTCTTATAAACTCTGGCCAGTTTTTGAACGTTCTGTTTCGCGGTTAATAGCATGAGTTAGGTTGATGTATTGCATATGCAATAGTACTCATGCTAAAATATTTACAGAACATCTCTCAGCAAATAATGACTATGCAGACAATGAATTTTAATTAAAAGAATAAAAGCAAAATTCATAATAATAGGTTAATATAAAAGAATAATTTTAAAAAGTGCATTATAAATGTATTCATGTGCAAGAACGTGGGAGCTCGAGGAAAAAAATGTGGCAAAAGCGCATAAAGTGGTGAGAAATATGGATTTAGAAGAGACAGCGCGAGAGAGAACTTACTTCAGGATTGATCTGATCTGTGAGGTCGTTGAAGGTACGGGCGCGCGGCAGACCACAGAGCTCTCGGAAGCTGTTGTAGGTGGCGATGCCGTGGTCGCGGCCACGTTGAAGATTCAGACTCATCAAGTCCATGCCAAAGTTAAATCTGGGAGTCTGTTAGTAGCAAGAGACAGTAATTATAATCTTATAACAGGTAACGATGGACAGTTTGTGTTTACCACCAGTAAGCATCAGATCGCTTGATCAAATGCCCACAAGTGGATATTGTAAGAGCCAGTGGCACACTGAAAAAATTGCTAGAATGATTATCATAATAACCGTTTTTACTGCTTTATTTAATAAATAAAATTAGTAGCAGTAACATTCAATATTATTTACCATTCCATTTTAAACATGGTTCAATAATTTTTGCAATAATTCATTCCCAGCTGATGGACATTCCAAGCTTTGCAATATTTTTCGAACATAAGAATTTCAGGAGAAAGTTTTAATTCGTTTTCAAACAAAGAACTTGCTCCTGCATATGCAGTTTTAACTGGAACCATTGAGACCGATTCACAAAAAGCTCGGTACTTTAGTGTAAGCCTTATAAGAACATAAAAAAGAAGGAACACTGCAAGAGGCCTACTGACCCATGCGAAGCAGGTCCATGTCCCCTCCTCGGATTATCCCAATGACCCACCTAGTCAGGTCACTTCCACTTAAGAAAGGAGCAACACATCAGACCTAGTAGCACAAGCTAGTCAGGTCCAACTCACCCACCCACACCCACTCATGTATTTATCTAACCTGTTTTTAAAACTACACAACGTTTTAGCCTCTATAACTGTACTCGAGAGTTTGTTCCACTCATCCACAACTCTATTACCAAACCAGTACTTTCCTATATCCTTCCTGAGTCTGAATTTTTCCAACTTGAAACCATTGCTGCGAGTCCTATCTTGGCTGGAAATTTTCAGCACGTTATTTACATCCCCTTTATTTATTCCTGTTTTCCATTTATACACCTCGATCATATCCCTCCCTAATTCTACGCCTTTCGAGAGAGGGCAGATTCAAGGCCCTCAGTCTATCCTCATAGGGAAGATTTCTGATACATGGGATCAACTTTGTCATCCTCCTCTTTACGTTTTCCAGTGCATTTATATCCATTGTGTAATACGGTGACCAAAACTGTGCAGCATAATCTAAATGAGGCCAAACCAAGGATATATAGAGTTGAAGAACAACCTAAGGACTTCTATTATTTATATTTCTAGATATGAAGCCAAGGATTCTGTTAGCTTTATTGCGAACACTAATGCACTGTTGTCTTGGTTTTAGATTTCTGCTAACCAGAACTCCTAAATCCTTTTTGCAATCAGTAGTATTAAGATCTTCATTATTTAGTTTATATGTGACATGGTTATTTTCCTGTCCAACATTTAAAACTTTGCATTTGTCTATATTAAACTGCATCTGCCACTTCTCCGACCATTGCATCAATCTATTCAAATCATCCTGGAGTGCTCTAGTGTCCTCATTAGAATGAATTGGCCGGCCTATTTTGGTGTCATCAGCAAATTTGCTTATGTCGATATTTATTCCCTCATCTACGTCGTTTATGTAAATTGTGAACAAAAACGGGCCCAACACTGACCCCTGTGGAACACCGCTTGTGACGTGCCCTAATTCTGATTTCTTCCCATTTATGCAAACTCTCTGCTGCCTACTTGTCAGCCATGGCTTTACCCAGGAAAAAATTTCTCCTATTCCATGTGCTAATAAATTGTTGTAGTTACACTTCAGCTATTGACAAAAAGTGAGAAAGAGCTATATTTGTTAAGGAACCTCCAATGAGGGCGTTGATTTGTCGCTCCTGGACCTATTGTGAAAGGGGTAAGGGGGTGGAGTTATAGTTTCTAGTCTCTTGAGATACAGCTACTAGGCCTCTCGTACGCCTTAAGGTACAGCTACTAGGCCTTATATGCCCTGAGGTACAGCTACTAGGCCTCTCATGTGCACAGAGATACAGCTACTAGGCCTCTCATATGCACTGAGGTACAGGTGCTAGGCCTCTCATGTGCACTGAGGTACAACTACTAGGCCTCTTATGTGAACTAAAATACAGCTACTAGGCTTCTGGTGTGTACTGAATATAGCTACTAGGCCTCTGGTGTGCACTGAGGTACAGCTACTAGGTCTCTGGTGTACACTGAGGTACAGCTACTAGGTCTCAGGTGTACACTGAGGAACAGCTACTAGGTCTCTGGAATACACTGAGGTACAGCTACTAGGTCTCTGGTGTACACTGAGGTACAGCTACTAGGCTTCTGGTGTACACTGAGGTACAGCTACTAGGTCTCTGATGTACACTGGGGTACAGCTACTAGGCCTCTGGTGTGCACTGAGGTACAGCTACTAGGTCTCTGGTGTACACTGAGGTACAGCTACTAGGTCTCTGGTGTACACTGAGGTACAGCTACTAGGTCTCTGGTGTACACTGAGGTACAACTACTAGGTCTCTGGTGTACACTGAGGTACAGCTACTAGGTCTCTGGTGTACACTGAGGTACAGCTACTAGGTCTCTGGTGTGCACTGGGGTACAGTTACTAGGTCTCTGGTGTACACTGAGGTACAGCTACTAGGTCTCTGGTGTACACTGAGGTACAGCTACTAGGTCTCTGGTGTGCACTGGGGTACAGCTACTAGGCCTCTGGTGTACACTGAGGTACAGCTACTAGGTCTCTGGTGTACACTGAGGTACAGCTACTAGGTCTCTGGTATACACTGAGGTACAGCTACTAGGTCTCTGGTGTACACTGAGGTACAGCTACTAGGCCTCTGGTGTACACTGAGGTACAGCTACTAGGCCTCTGGTGTACACTGGGGTACAGCTACTAGGTCTCTGGTGTGCACTGGGGTACAGCTACTAATGCCGGAAAAAAAATCCCCCCCCAGTACCAACAATACCACCAGTCCGATAACATTCTTCTTTGCAAATATACAGGGTCTAAAGCCAGCAACAAACAACAAAATACCTTTCATCCGTGGACTGCTTGCAGAGGCAAAGGCAATGTTCGCGGCTTTCACTGAGACCCACATAAAGGATCACTTGGACAACGAAATATGGATCCCAGGTTACAACCTATACAGATGTGACAGAGTGAACAGGCAAAAGGGGGGGGGGTTGGCCTGTACATTGCAGAGTCACTTGTTTGCACAGAACTGCTTAATGCCTCAAATGATGTAGTGGAAGTTTTAGCAGTAAAGGTTGAGAACCAAAACCTAGTCATTGTGGTAGTCTACAAGCCTCCGGATGCAACATCCCAGCAATTCCAGGAACAGCTGTTAAAAATTGACCAATGTCTGGAAAATCTTCCAGCTCCTGCACCAAACATCTTGCTCCTGGGGGATTTCAACTTAAGGCACCTAAAATGGAGGAATACAGCAAATAATATTGTTGCAGTAATAACACCAGGAGGCAGCTCTGATGAAAACTCACACTCACGCGAGCTTTTAAATCTCTGCACAAAATTCAATTTAAACCAGCAAATAATAGAGCCTACTAGACTGGAGAATACACTAGACCTCATCTTCACTAACAATGATGATCTGATAAGAAATGTCACCATATCAAAAACAATATACTCAGATCACAACATAATTGAGGTTCAGACATGTATGCGCGGAGCCCCAGACCGACAAAATGAGATTAGTCACGAGGGAGCATTCACCAAATTCAACTTCAATAACAAAAACATAAAGTGGGACCAAGTAAACCAAGTCCTAACCGATATAAGCTGGGAAGATATACTAAGCAACACAGACCCCAACTTATGCCTAGAACAGATTAACTCGGTGGCACTCGATGTATGCACAAGGCTTATTCCTCTAAGAAAAAGGAGGAGTAGATGTAAAATAGAAAGAGACAGGCGCTCCCTTTACAGGCGACGGAAAAGAATAACAGAGCGGCTAAAAGAGGTCAATATATCTGAAATGCGTAGGGAGACACTGGTCAGAGAAATAGCAAGCATCGAACTTAAGCTAAAAGAATCCTTTAGGAGTCAGGAATCGCGGGAAGAACTAAAAGCCATAAATGAAATCGAAAGAAACCCAAAGTATTTCTTCTCCTATGCCAAATCAAAATCGAGAACAACGTCCAGTATTTGGCCCCTACTTAAACAAGATGGGTCCTACACAGATGACAGCAAGGAAATGAGTGAGCTACTCAAGTCCCAATATGACTCAGTTTTTAGCAAGCCGCTAACCAGACTGAGAGTCGAAGATCAAAATGAATTTTTTATGAGAGAGCCACAAAATTTGATTAACACAAGCCTATCCGATGTTATCCTGACGCCAAATGACTTCGAACAGGCGATAAATTACATGCCCATGCACTCTGCCCCAAGGCCAGACTCATGGAACTCTGTGTTCATCAAGAACTGCAAGAAGCCCCTATCACGAGCCTTTTCCATCCTATGGAGAGGGAGCATGGACACGGAGGTCGTTCCACAGTTACTAAAAACAACAGACATAGCCCCACTCCACAAAGGGGGCAGTAAAGCAACAGCAGAGAACTACAGACCAATAGCACTAACATCCCATATCATAAAAATCTTTGAAAGGGTCCTAAGAAGCAAGATCACCACCCATCTAGAAACCCATCAGTTACACAACCCAGGGCAACATGGGTTTAGAACAGGTCGCTCCTGTCTGTCTCAACTATTGGATCACTACGACAAGGTCCTAAATGCACTAGAAGATAAAAAGAATGCAGATGTAATATATACAGACTTTGCAAAAACCTTCGACAAGTGTGACCATGGCGTAATAGCGCACAAAATGCGTGCTAAAGGAATAACAGGAAAAGTCGGTCGATGGATCTATAATTTCCTCACTAACAGAACACAGAGAGTAGTCGTCAACAGAGTAAAGTCCGAGGCAGCTACGGTGAAAAGCTCTGTTCCACAAGGCACAGTACTCGCTCCCATCTTGTTCCTCATCCTCATATCCGACATAGACAAGGATGTCAGCCACAGCTCCGTGTCTTCCTTTGCAGATGACACCCGAATCTGCATGACAGTGTCTTCCATTGCAGACACTGCAAAGCTCCAGGCGGACATCAACCAAATCTTTCAGTGGGCTGCAGAAACAATATGAAGTTCAACGATGAGAAATTTCAATTACTCAGATATGGTAAACATGAGGAAATTAAATCTTCATCAGAGTACAAAACAAATGGCCACAAAATAGAGCGAAACACCAACGTCAAAGACCTGGGAGTGATCATGTCGGAGGATCTCACCTTCAAGGACCATAACATTGTATCAATCGCATCTGCTAGAAAAATGACAGGATGGATAATGAGAACCTTCAAAACTAGGGAGGCCAAGCCCATGATGACATTCTTCAGGTCACTTGTTCTATCTAGGCTGGAATATTGCTGCACACTAACAGCACCTTTCAAGGCAGGTGAAATTGCCGACCTAGAAAATGTACAGAGAACTTTCACGGCGCGCATAACGGAGATAAAACACCTCAATTACTGGGAGCGTTTGAGGTTCCTAAACCTGTATTCCCTGGAACGCAGGAGGAGAGATACATGATTATATACACCTGGAAAATCCTAGAGGGACTAGTACCGAACTTGCACACGAAAATCACTCACTACGAAAGCAAAAGACTTGGCAGACGATGCACCATCCCCCAATGAAAAGCAGGGGTGTCACTAGCACGTTAAGAGACCATACAATAAGTGTCAGGGGCCCGAGACTGTTCAACTGCCTCCCAGCACACATAAGGGGGATTACCAACAGACCCCTGGCAGTCTTCAAGCTGGCACTGGACAAGCACCTAAAGTCAGTTCCTGATCAGCCGGGCTGTGGCTCGTACGTTGGTTTGCGTGCAGCCAGCAGCAACAGCCTGGTTGATCAGGCTCTGATCCACCAGGAGGCCTGGTCACAGACCGGGCCGCGGGGGCGTTGACCCCCGGAACTCTCTCCAGGTAAACTCCAGGTAAACAGCTACTAGGCCTCTGGTGTACACTGAGGTACAGCTACTAGGTCTCTGGTGTACACTGAGGTACAGCTACTAGGTCTTTGGTGTACACTGGGGTACAGCTACTAGGTCTCTGGTGTGCACTGGGGTACAGCTACTAGGTCTCTGGTGTACACTGAGGTACAGCTACTTGGTCTCTGGTGTACACTGGGGTACAGCTACTAGGTCTCTGGTATACACTGGGGTACAGCTACTAGGTCTCTGGTGTGCACTGGGGTACAGCTGCTAGGTCTCTGGTGTACACTGGGGTACAGCTACTAGGTCTCTTGGTATAAACCTTGGTAATAAATACCGACAAGTTGGTTTAGAAAGACACGTAAGCAAACACTATAACATATTTATTAGAAAACGTTTCGGTCCTGGGACCTTGATCACTTCTAACATGTTAGAAGTGATCAAGGTCCCAGGACCGAAACGTTTTCTAATAAATATGTTATAGTGTTTGCTTACGTGTCTTTCTAAACCAACTAGGTCTCTTGTGTGCACTGGGGTACAGCTACTAGGCCTCTGGTGTGTATTGAGGGATCATATAATATACGGAATAACGTTTGGTTCCCCAGACCACATTCTGAAACGTGGAAAAAAAACACACGAAGAAAACTAGGAAATCCATGAAAGTAAAAATCCTACGTTTACATTTGTGTCAAAGCAGTTTTGTGGGTGGCCTTAGGTTGAAATTTAAAAAAGACGTTTGCTTAGGTAGTAGTGTTGTAGTGTGATTTGCACATACGTTCCTCACAACCGTGCACTCTAACCACACTTGGCTCCAGTATGACTTTTATGATAAATGGTTTAAAACCGACAAGTTAAAGATTGACACACTTACGCAATATATGGGAATCTTAATAAAGAAACGTTTCGACACACAGTGGCTTTATCAGTCCAATACAAAATATTGGGCTGATGAACTCCATCTTCAATATGACTTCAGTAGAGGTCAATCTTCAGTATGACTTCTACAAGCATAGAAGTCATACTGGTTAAAAAGATATCAATGGACACTTTGGGGCATAATACGAGAGGATCGTCTCAGAACGAAAGAGACATGTAGAAGTGGCAAAGTATTACAAGGTAACATACACCTGGAAGGTATTAGTTTTCAAGTGCGTGCTCTAGATTCAGTATTTCAAGAAATTCCCAGAGTTAGCTTTTCTGACTGCTAATCAAAGTATATTTTCACAAAATTTACATTCCTAAAAACTAACTTTACTCACCTGGAACAGATGGTTGGACAAGTCCTGAGTAATGAAGGAGTCAAACTTCTGTACAGAATATTGTGTGAAGCTTCGAACTAATTCGTCCAGTCGATTTTCTAACTCTATGAGATGAGGAGAGTTAAAGTGATCGCGGAGCCTGATGGTGTTCACACCGCCATTTGCCTTGAACAATCTTTACCGGTCGAAAGATAAAAATTTATTGCAGTAATAAGAAAACAACGTGTGTCCCTAAATTAATAAGCAAAAATTATTTTGCACGGCATGTAGGCTATGGAATTTAAGTTTTCCGCTACATTTTGTGTATTCGCTGTTTTCCTGAGAAAGTGTGAACCCCCCCCCCCCCAAAAAAAAAAAAAAAAAAAAATATCTGAACAGCATGTCAACAGTAAGGAAGCAAAAAAGTTCACATACATTTATTAAATTTGTATGATTTCAACAATTTTCAAAAGATCATTCTCTCTAAGGAAAAAAACTGAAATATTACTCACCGAATAATCCCTTGCACCAGTGTGTGTCCAAACCTGAAGGCTGCTGCTGAGAATTCATTGTTCATGTTGGGGTTGATTCTGGGGTTGTAGTCGTTGCTGAAGCCTGATGGAAGTGTACTAAGACCGAAGGATCTCATGAAATCCCTTCCTGAAAGAGCGATATTCTTACTGCCACTTATCGTAACTAGATAACACCACACTGAAGCAATAGCATATCAATTAATCAGGCCAGCCTATTTCCCTTATTTCCCCACCCAGGACCAGAAATCTGCTAGTTCCATGAAGTTTAAATTGCAGGCAGCCTTTAAGAACATAATCTCACCACACTGAAACATGTAGGGAAAAATGATAAAATACTATCGCAACTTTTAAGATACTCACAGGTATCAACGAGATGAATGTGGATAAACGATTTGAATTGAATGGAACCAGACAGAAACTATTAATCAAGTCACAGAAATATCAGATAAAATCTCATTAGTGTGAGGGTTGTGAACTCGTAGAATGCACAATAGGAGTTAACTGATAGAGGTACACTATACAAAGTTATAATTAAAAATACGATAATTATGGGGCACATGAGGTATGACATCTGTCGATTAGCTTAATTATTCTCAACAAAATTAAGCAGGTGAGCCACACCTATGATGATGGGGAGCCACTCGTTGAAAAGAATGTGTTGTTGCTGGGCAATGATGATCCTGCGGGTCTCCTGGAAGACAGCTTCGTCCGACCACTGGGGGTTCAGTCTCTGAAGTTCTCCTGCTACACGGTTGTGTTCTCTCACCCACAAGGTGTGAAGGGCGGTCAAGATAGGCTGCTCGTTCACTCGTGAGTCGCCTATAATGATGCTTTTAATATTTATTTTTCATAATTATTCTTTCAAGTTATACAGTGAAACATTACTGATACTATAAGTGATTAGAGAAGTCCAAAGAGATATTTAAAAAATGGAGCATAATATGCAGCCTATGTAAAGGATCAGCTATTACAATAATAATTAAGTAAATGTCCTGAAGTGGACCAGCTTTTGCACAGTAAATCAATCCATTATGTTTGCTTAGCACAAATAAAACTTTACTGTCTTAAGAGACTAATTTTTTTTTTCAACAAGTCGGCCGTCTCCCACCGAGGCAGGGTGACCCAAACAAGAAAGAAAATCCCCAAAAAGAAAATACTTTCATCATTCAACACTTTCACTTCACTTACACAATCACTGTTTTTGCAGAGGTGCTCAGAATACAACAATTTAGAAGCATATACGTATAAAGATACACAAGAGACTAATTACATGTGAAATACCCCTTCCTGAGGGCACCCATGATGGTCAAAGCGTATACTCTATTTGCTATATACATTGCATACATATAAGATAATCATGATCCTGTATATGTTCTCTAGTGTTTTTGTCAAATTTGCCTAAACTATTAAAATGCTTTATTGAGGCGTTCTTATAGAATTAGTGATAAGAGTAGAGTATCCCATTAGCGATGTTTTTTCCTACATTGTACCTCTACCGCCAAGAACGAGCAGTGACGGTGATGTCTGTATAATGTGGTATTAAACTGCCAAAGCGAAAGTTTTACAAAAGAAAAGTAATGTGAGTAACAACAAAGACGAAGCACCAAGTAAGGCGGTGATCTGTTTTAAATAATACAATATTATCTCTGTACATTTTTTTTTTTCAACAAGTCGGCCGTCTCCCACCGAGGCAGGGTGACCCAAAAAAGAAAGAAAATCCCCAAAAAGAGAATACTTTCATCATCATTCAACACTTTCACCACACTCACACATTATCACTGTTTTTGCAGAGGTGCTCAGAATACAACAGTTTAGAAGCATACACATATAAAGATACACAACATATCCCTCCAAACTGCCAATATCCCAAACCCCTCCGTTAAAGTGCAGGCATTGTACTTCCCATTTCCAGGACTCAAGTCCGACTATATGAAAATAACCGGTTTCCCTGAATCCCTTCACTAAATATTACCCTGCTCACACTCCAACAGATCGTCAGGTCCCAAGTATCATTCGCCTCCATTCACTCCTATCTAATACGCTCATGCACGCTTGCTGGAAGTCCAAGCCCCTAGCCCACAAAACCTCCTTTACCCCCTCTTTCCAACCCTTTCGAGGACGACCCCTACCCCTCCTTCCTTCCCCTATAGATTTATATGCTTTCCATGTCATTCTACTTTGATCCATTCTCTCTAAATGACCATACCACCTCAACAACCCCTCTTCTGCCCTCTAACTAATGCTTTTATTAAATCCACACCTTCTCCTAATTTCCACACTCCGAATTTTCTGCATAATATTTGCACCACACATTGGCCTTAGACAGGACATATCCACTGCCTCCAACCGTCTCCTCGCTGCTGCATTTACCACCCAAGCTTCACATCCATATAAGAGTGTTGGTACTACTATACTTTCATACATTCCCTTCTTTGCCTCCATAGATAACGTTTTTTTGACTCCACATATACCTCAACGCACCACTCGCCTTTTTTCCCTCATCAATTCTATGATTAACCTCATCCTTCATAAATCCATCCGCCAACACGTCAACTCCCAAGTATCTGAAAACATTCACTTCTTCCATACTCCTCCTCCCCAATTTGATATCCAATTTTTCTTTATCTAAATCATTTGATACCCTCATCACCTTACTCTTTTTTATGTTCACTTTCAACTTTCTACTTTACACACATTCTCAAACTCATCCACTAACCTTTGCAATTTTTCTTTAGAATCTCCCATAAGCACAGTATCATCAGCAAAAAGTAACTGTGTCAATTCCCATTTTGAATTTGATTCCCCATAATTTAATCCCACCCCTCTCCCGAACACCCTAACATTTACTTCTTTTACAACCCCATCTATAAATATATTAAACAACCATGGTGACATTACACATCCCTGTCTAAGACCTACTTTTACCGGGAAGTATTCTCCCTCTCTTCTACACACCCTAACCTGAGCCTCACTATCCTCATAAAAACTCTTTACAGCATTTAGTAACTTACCACCTATTCCATATACTTGCAACATCTGCCACATTGCTCCTCTATCCACTCTATCATATGCCTTTTCTAAATCCATAAATGCAATAAAAACTTCCCTACCTTTATCTAAATACTCTTCACATATATGCTTCAATGTAAACACTTGATCTACACATCCCCTACCCACTCTGAAGCCTCCCTGCTCATCCGCAATCCTACATTCTGTCTTACCTCTAATTCTTTCAATTATAACCCTACCGTATACTTTTCCTGGTATACTCAGTAAACTTATTCCTCTATAATTTTTACAATCTCTTTTGTCCCCTTTCCCTTTATATAAAGGGACTATACATGCTCTCCGCCAATCCCTAGGTACCTTCCCCTTTCATACATTTATTAAACAAAAGTACCAACCACTCCAACACTATATCCCCCCCTGCTTTAACATTTCTGTCATGATCCCATCAGTTCCAGCTGCTTTACCCCCTTTCATTCTACGTAATGCCTCACGTACCTCCACCACACTTACATTCTGCTCTTCTTCACTCCTAAAAGATGGTATACCTCCCTGGCCAGTGCATGAAATTACCGCCTCCCTTTCTTCCTCAACATTTAAAAGTTCCTCAAAATATTCTCGCCATCTACCTAATACCTCCATCTCCCCATCTACTAACTCCCCTCCTCTGTTTTTAACTGACAAATCCATACTTTCCCTAGGCTTTCTTAACTTGTTTAACTCACTCCAAATTTTTTTCTTATTTTCATTAAAATTTCTTGACAGTGCCTCTCCCACTCTTTCATCTGCTCTCCTTTTGGACTCTCTCACCACTCTCTTCACCTTTCTTTTACTCTCCATATACTCTGCTCTTCTTATAACACTTCTGCTTTGTAAAAACCTCTCGTAAGCTACCTTTTTCTCTTTTATCACACCCTTTACTTCATCATTCCACCAATCACTCCTCTTTCCTCCTGCCCCCACCCTCATATAACCACAAACTTCTGCCCCACATTCTAATACTGCATTTTTAAAACTATTCCAACCCTCTTCAACCCCCCCACTACTCATCTTTGCACTAGCCCACCTTTCTGCCAATAGTCGCTTATATCTCGCCCGAACTTCCTCCTCCCTTAGTTTATACACTTTCACTTCCCTCTTACTTGTTGTTGCCACCTTCCTCTTTTCCCATCTACCTCTTACTCTAACTGTATCTACAACTAAATAATGATCCGATATATCAGTTGCCCCTCTATAAACATGTACATCCTAGAGCCTACCCATCAACCTTTTATCCACCAATACATAATCTAACAAACTACTTTCATTACATGCTACATCATACCTTGTATATTTATTTATCCTCTTTTTCATAAAATATGTATTACTTATTACCAAATTTCTTTCTACACATAGCTCAATTAAAGGCTCCCCATTTACATTTACCCCTGGCACCCCAAATTTACCTACTACTCCCTCTATAACATTTTTACCCACTTTAGCATTGAAATCCCCAACCACCATTACTCTCACACTTGATTCAAAACTCCCCACGCATTCACTCAACATTTCCCAGAATCTCTCTCTCCTCTACACTTCTCTCTTCTCCAGGTGCATACACGCTTACTATAACCCACTTTTCACATCCAATCTTTATTTTACTCCACATAATCCTTGAATTTATACATTTGTAGTCCCTCTTTTCCTGCCATAGCTTATCCTTCAACATTATTGCTACTCCTTCTTTAGCTCTAACTCTATTTGAAACCCCTGACCTAATCCCATTTATTCCTCTCCATTGAAACTCTCCCACCCCCTTCAGCTTTGTTTCACTTAAAGCCAGGACATCCAGTTTCTTCTCATTCATAACATCCACAATCATCTCTTTCTTATCATCTGCACAACATCCACGCACATTCAGACTTTCCATTTTGACAATTTTCTTCTTCTTATTCTTTTTAGTAATCTTTACAGGAAAAGGGGTTACTAGCCCATTGTTCCCGGCATTTTAGTTGACTTTTACAACACGCATGGCTTACGGAGGAAAGATTCTTATTCCACTTCCCCATGGATATAAAAGGAAAAGTAATAGGACCAAGAACTATTAAGATAAAATAAAAGAAAACTCAGATGAGTGTGTATAAATAAACGTGTACATGTATGTGTAGTGTGACCTAAGTGTAAGTGTACATCTCAATAATAAAAAAGTACATAATAATAAAACACTATTAACAAAGACTTAAAACCTAATATGCACACATAATCTACATATTGGAAATGAAAATTGAAACGTTTCGGCTCATCTAAGTCGCTACTTTGAAGTGTCCAGGGTGGAGCGCCCTTATATATTATTAATAATTCCAGTTTGTCAGATAGTTATGACTTGTCTTATTCTTCTTAGTCCCAATATAACATCATGAAGCCATATTCTATGACCTATTCAGAAGAAATGAGCAGACAAGTGTTCTCAATCCATGACATAACCTGTCCTCCAATTGGGACAGAATACTAAGCGTGACCTGGCTTCCATGTGTCATGTGGCGATTATCACCGATCTAAACTACAGGGTGTTTCACTCGTAGGTCCCGAGTTGGTACTCCCTGGTTGCAACCGTCTTGTTTGTATATTGTCTGTAGTAAACGATAACTCGGGCCTACGAGTAGGACACCTCAAGTAATCGTTTACTACAGACAATATGCAAACAAAATGGTTACAACTACAGGAGTACCAACTCGGGGCCTCCTACGAGTAAAACACCCTGTAGAATTTACATGTTGAAATTTAACAACCTTAAAACAAACTGAGGTCTGAAATTGATTCAATATGCTTTCATTCAACTACTCGCCTTTCTTGAAATATGAACATATATTTTTCCTTTGAAGAGGGTTGGAATAGTTTTAAAAATGCAGTATTAGAATGTGGGGCAGAAGTTTGTGGTTATAGGAGGGTGGGGGCAGGTGGAAAGAGGAGTGATTGGTGGAATGATGAAGTAAAGGGTGTGATAAAAGAGAAAAAGGTAGCTTATGAGAGGTTTTTACAAAGCAGAAGTGTTATAAGAAGAGCAGAGTATATGGAGAGTAAAAGAAAGGTAAAGAGAGTGGTGAGAGAGTGCAAAAGGAGAGCAGATGATAGAGTGGGAGAGGCACTGTCAAAAATTTTTAATGAAAATAAGAAAATTTTTTGGAGTGAGTTAAACAAGTTAAGAAAGCCTAGGGAAAGTATGGATTTGTCAGTTAACAACAGAGTAGGGAAGTTAGTAGAAGGGGAGATGGAGGTATTAGGTAGATGGCGAGAATATTTTGAGGAACTTTTGAATGTTAAGGAAGAAACAGAGGCAGTAATTTCATGCACTGGTCAGGGAGGTATACCATCTTTTAGGAGTGAAGAAGAACAGAATGTAAGTGTGGGGGAGGTACGTGAGGCATTACGTAAAATGAAAGGGGGTAAAGCAGCTGGAACTGATGGGATCATGACAGAAATGTTAAAAGCAGGGGGGATATAGTGTTGGAGTGGTTGGTACTTTTGTTTAATAAATGTATGAAAGAGGGGAAGGTACCTAGGGATTGGCGGAGAGCATGTATAGTCCCTTTATATAAAGGGAAAGGGGACAAAAGAGATTGTAAAAATTATAGAGGAATAAGTTTACTGAGTATACCAGGAAAAGTGTACGGTAGGGTTATAATTGAAAGAATTAGAGTAAGACAGAATGTAGGATTGCGGATGAGCAAAGAGGTTTCAGAGTGGGTAGGGGATGTGTAGATCAAGTGTTTACATTGAAGCATATATGTGAGCAGTATTTATATAAAGGTAGGGAAGTTTTTATTGCATTTATGGATTTAGAAAAGGCGTATGATAGAGTGGATAGAGGAGCAATGTGGCAGATGTTGCAAGTATATGGAATAGGTGGTAAGTTATTAAATGCTGTAAAGAGTTTTTATGAGGATAGTGAGGCTCAGGTTAGGGTGTGTAGAAGAGAGGGAGACTACTTCCCGGTAAAAGTAGGTCTTAGACAGGGATGTGTAATGTCACCATGGTTGTTTAATATATTTATAGATGGGGTTGTAAAGGAAGTAAATGCTAGGGTGTTCGGGAGAGGGGTGGGATTAAATTTTGAGGAATCAAATTCAAAATGGGAATTGACACAGTCACTTTTTGCTGATGATACTGTGCTTATGGGAGATTCTAAAGAAAAATTGCAAAGGTTAGTGGATGAGTTTGGGAATGTGTGTAAAGGTAGAAAGTTGAAAGTGAACATAGAAAAGAGTAAGGTGATGAGGGTGTCAAATGATTTAGATAAAGAAAAATTGGATATCAAATTGGGGAGGAGGAGTATGGAATGAAGTGAATGTTTTCAGATATTTGGGAGTTGACGTGTCGGCGGATGGATTTATGAAGGATGAGGTTAATCATAGAATTGATGAGGGAAAAAAAGGTGAGTGGTGCGTTGAGGTATATGTGGAGCCAAAAAACGTTATCTATGGAGGCAAAGAAGGGAATGTATGAAAGTATAGTAGTACCAACACTCTTATATGGGTGTGAAGCTTGGGTGGTAAATGCAGCAGCGAGGAGACGGTTGGAGGCAGTGGAGATGTCCTGTTTAAGGGCAATGTGAGTTGTAAATATTATGCAGAAAATTCGGAGTGTGGAAATTAGGAAAAGGTGTGGAGTTAATAAAAGTATTAGTCAGAGGGCAGAAGAGGGGTTGTTGAGGTGGTTTGGTCATTTAGATAGAATGGATCAAAGTAGAATGACATGGAAAGCATATAAATCTATAGGGGAAGGAAGGCGGGGTAGGGGTCGTCCTCGAAAGGGTTGGAGAGAAGGGGTAAAGGAGGTTTTGTGGACAAGGGGCTTGGACTTCCAGCAAGCGTGTGTGAGCGTGTTAGATAGGAGTGAATGGAGACGAATGGTACTTGGGACCTGACGATCTGTTGGAGTGTGAGCAGGGTAATATTTAGTGAAGGGATTCAGGGAAACCGGTTATTTTCATATAGTCGGACTTGAGTCCTGGAAATGGGAAGTACAATGCCTGCACTTTAAAGGAGGGGTTTGGGATATTGGCAGTTTGGAGGGATATGTTGTGTATCTTTATATGTGTATGCTTCTAAACTGTTGTATTCTGAGCACCTCTGCAAAAACAGTGATAATGTGCGAGTGTGGTGAAAGTGTTGAATGATGATGAAAGTATTTTCTTTTTGGGGATTTTCTTTCTTTTTTGGGTCACCCTGCCTCGGTGGGAGACGGCCGACTTGTTGAAAAAAAAAAAAATTCCTTTGATTCTCCATCTCGGCAATACCATGGCGGCTAATCAATCTCAACATTTTCAACCTGCAAGGAAATAAAAATTTGTATTTGTACGTATTTGTAACAAAATAAGCAACTAACGAACCTGCAGCGAAACAGAGAGCTCCGCGTTCCCGAGCCTCGCAATCTCCTCCCTGTTCGCTATTTATTGGTAAGAGATTGTTACCGGAGGTCTTCATGAGTCCGTTCCTGAATGATCTCAAGTCCCGTGTCTGGTCAGCAGTGGAGCCGTATATGACAGAGCCGTCTATCCAGTGTGTAAGCTGGTTCAGCTGTATTAGATATAAACCTTGGATTAGTATAAACATTTAGCACAAATTTAAAAAAAATGGATTATCCTTGGTTAAATCTAATAACTGACCACCAGTGTATCATATAAAACTTATATTTATTGCTATTACTGTACAACTTAATGATCTGTAAAACAATACTTAGAAAACCCAAATAAGGTTTTTCTTTGCATGATTAAATGCGGAAGGTTGAAGAAGGGTAACGTTAACTTTTTTCTGTATTACTCACTTTATGCAGATGAAATTACAAAAAAAATTAAATATTCCCGGAAGGAAAAGGATGGGGGTACAGTAGCTGTTGTCGGAATGTTCTTCCTCCAAGACTCTCGTGTGATGACTAGACAATGACTTTCCTGTTGTGCTTCACTCTCAACATATATATAGATAGTATTTGCTGGAAGGTTACGAGTTGTTTTGGTCTGTACTACCTGGAGTTTACCTGGAGAGAGTTCCGGGGGTCAACGCCCCCGCGGCCCGGTCTGTGACCAGGCCTACTGGTGGATCAGAGCCTGATCAACCAGGCTGTTGCTGCTGGCTGCACGCAAACCAACGTACGAGCCACAGCCAGGCTGATCAGGAACTGACTTTAGGTGCTTGTCCGGTGCCAGCTTGGAAACTGCCAGGGGTCTGTTGGTAATCCCCCTTATGTGTGCTGGGAGGCAGTTGAACAGTCTCGGGCCCCTGACACTTATTGTATGGTCTCTTAACGTGCTAGTGACACCCCTGCTTTTCATTGGGGGGATGGTGCATCGTTTGCCAAGTCTTTTGCTTTCGTAGTGAGTGATTTTCGTGTGCAAGTTCGGTACTAGTCCCTCTAGGATTTTCCAGGTGTATATAATCATGTATCTCTCCCTCCTGCGTTCCATTAGGTGTCAGTTTGCCACTTTTATTCATTATCATTATTATAATAAGGAGTCATATAGCACCTGGGTTCAGTTCCTTGGAACGAGAGCCCTACGTCTGCATCGTAAGAACATAAGAAAGGAGGAACACTGCAGCAGGACTGTTGGCCCATACTAGGCAGGTCCTTCACAATCCGTCCCACTAATATGACATTTGCCCAACTATTTAATTTGAATCCATTATTGCGGGTTCTCTCTTGGAGAGATATCCCCAAGACCTTATTTATATCCCCTTCTTCCCCATCTATCCCCATCTTCCACTTGTACACTTCGATCATGTCTCCCCTCATTCTTCGTAATTTAAGGGACTTCAATCTTTCTTCACACGGACAACTTTTACTGAACAAACAGTGACATTAGTTTCTATGCAATAACACAAGACTGCTTCTTTTTAAGAGCATTGTAGATGTCAGTTCACTAACTTTATTTAAAAATGTGAATGTTATACCTTGAGTAATTGCTGTATTAAGCAGAAAATTTAAACTCATCGTCTATAAGGAAAAGGCCAACTTTGTACAAGTTTCACATGCATGAGTGAACGTTATATAGACAGAACCTTTCATTTCCGTCATTCTCTGCGGGTTGCGGCTCTCAGCACGATCTGTTATACAATTCTTTCACTATCGCTATTTTCCACTTGAATTTTGGAATGTCTCTAAATTTTTTATTCGTGTGCCCCCTTCCCCTCCTCAGTAGTGTTTGTAGTCACTTTACCTACTGCTTGGCTCTCCAACACTTCAGAATTGTTTATGTTTGGTTCAACCTGATATCTGGAACACCTATGTAACTATATTACCAGATACGAACTCAGAGCCAATCGCTTCGTAACTTGTTAAAATACCCTCGACTCTGACACTTCTGTGCCTCTTAAGGAGGCACAGAAGTGTTGAATTAAAGGTCATAAGGCTTTCAAAGTTGTTATCCAGCTCATGAACCTCTTGAGGGAGGGGACGGGAGGGAGAGTTGACTAATAACTTGTAGATTTCTCAAGAGAGTTAAGGTACAGTTACAGGCAGGCTACATCTCTCGGACTGAGCATCGACCGCAATGCATCTGCTGTATACGGTGTAACATTTCAACACAGATGTCAGCAGAAGCAACATATCTTAACACTTTAAAGGTAATTATCTGAAGAACATATTATAACAAGAACTAATGGAAAGATAAAATTAGTGAAAAAATAAAAAAAAATATTAGAAATGTAAACGGAATACAGATAGCCGTTAACTTGTCTGTCAAGTTAGCACTTGTAAAATCTAATAAAATACTGGATCATTCACGTAACCAACCTGCTCAGCATAACCAAACACACAGTTTGAGCCGGTTCCCACAGCAACCATGCTCCTGACTAAGTTCATGCAGGTCCTGCCTAAAGGACCATAGAAGGGGTCACCAGAAAGATCAATGGGAAAGCATCTTGGATGACGCAAGTTCTCAGCTACCAGCGTTCCATTGGGGCAACATTCAATTCCATCTCCATTATCTGATAGTGTAAAGTATAACTCTGAATATTAATGAAATAATTATGACCGATATTACCTATAAAGATATAGCAGCATAACTAATGTTGATGCATATAGTAAGAGAGAGATAAAAACATAACTTTGTTAAGTTCTGTGAAGTCTCACTAAAGCATTATAGACTAGATCGACTGTAGATTTTGGAAATTCGTCTTACCCATAGTAGGGAAAGGAACATGAGCAAATTCATGGTCAGTGAACTGTGCCCACGCCATGAGGGAAAATGTGTAGATCTCGTCTGGTTGATTTACGTCTAGTAAAACGTTACTGCTAATGCGACGCACATTGGGGAGAGGAGAACCATCAACTGCTGTGGAGCGAGGCTCAAACACACCTGTAAAGAAACATACAGTTCACTGACTGGGAACACTTATGAGTGAATATCATTCATAATAAGCTTCAAATATTGTTACTGAATGTCTTCAGTAATTAAACTAAATGCCATCAGCAAAACTGTCATAAATTTAGGGCACTACTCTGTGGTGTGCCTTTGTTCTTTATGTAGTGTGGTAATCCTACCGTTATTTCTTATGATGTTATTCTTTCTATTTTATACGGTGGACCACTAACCCAGCAAATAACCTTAACACAACCATCCGCCTCACCGTCAGCATAAGTTGGTGGTAAGATCCTCTGGTTGGGTGTGTTGCTCTTGCCCCAGGATGGGTTAGCAAGGTTGTTGCAAGATCCATCAGCTGTACGGTACTTGGCGTTGGGAGTACAAGTGGGATCCCGAGGACAAAAACTAGCAAGACTTGTACCGCTCACCGGCATGTCCCTCAGACCAAAAGATGCTAATCTTGGTGTTAAACTAAAGCTGAAAATGTAAAGCAAGGATTAGCATTCACTGGCAGATAATAATCCATCTTCTTCTATCTCGATGCTTACTTTCTACTGATTGATTCTGTCTCTTCCATCATCACGGCCCATTTCGAAAATTTACTACTTAATCTGATTTATACCACAGCATTTTTGCACCCTAACAACCACGTTAGTGATCCCATATAATGACAATGTACGAGTTACCCTGAACCCTTAGACGCTTCACAGTAAATGCAGTGTTTAACCAACACATCGTTCGATGGCAATGAACAATGTGCATTTCTTCCTTACGTTACTCCAAACAGCATGTATTCAGTGATACTGTGTATAAAGATATGACAGTTATATATATTCCATGATTTATATTTCAAGACATTTAAAGATTTTCCTTTATACTCTTTTGCTAGTTCGCTAGAAGCGGTGATAATAGCCATGGCGTTGCGATCCATTTCCTTCGCTCCTTCGTTAATGATGAAGACTCGAAGATGTTGACCAGCTGGTGAGAACCTGGGCAGGACGACGGAGTTCCTGTGTTGGGTGGACAGGGAACACCGTGAGTGTATGATTCCTGTGTTGGGTGGACAGGGAACACTGTCAGTGTATGGGTCATGGGAAGTGTTAATCGTTGCCAGGTATTATATCACTGTCATCCAATTTATACATTATTAAAATCACTCCTTGTCTGTCTGTCTGTCTCTGTCTCTCTCACTGCTACAAGTTCCTTACCTAATAATGTTCTGCTCGACCCGATTAATTTCGCTGGGATAGTTGAGTCCAACACTGAGAGACTGCGGAATCTTCCCAGAGTCTAAAGTTGGTAATTTTACATTGACACTTGCTTGAGAGAAAACTGTTTTGGTGGCGACGGTCTGGGGTGAAGCACCTGTCAACATGACATCATGGATAACTCAACGACAACCCTGCAGTCATGTTAACATTACTGATGAATCTTAAAGATGAGAAGCATAACATTTGGAATTATAAAAGTAGATGAAAAACGTTTACTCTTTGTCACAGAACTAAATCTTCCCACCTCCGAGGATTACTTCCGGCTGACCGGGTTCACTGAATTCCTTCATGCTACCTTACCTCGATCTAACACAAACCTGCTGGATGCTAAAGCTCCTACCCTTTAAAACCTCTCTCTTACACCCTCCCACCTACACGTTCTTCAACGATCCCTAACCACTAACTTAATAACAACAGACTGGCGGTCTGGCGTAACACTAACTTATTTTTTTGTCAGTCAGTTATCTTCCTTAAAGGAACTTGACGCTCCCTTTCACAGTATAGAAAATAAAAACATTAAAAATTAATTATCACCGATTCTCTAATCTTACTCTTCTGAATGCTGCTGCATCCTACCAATACTTCAGCATCGCTGAAATCAGTTTTGCATTTCTCTATACTTTCCTGCAGAAATACAGTATTATTACTGTACATAGTATCAATGTTGATTAAAATGACGTTTAAAATAATTTGTTTCCCCTATATAGTACTTACTACAGTCATGGAATCTTATAAATGGCCAAATTCATTTGGCTATCTTTAAAACAAAAATATTTAACAAATAACGTTACGATATTGTAACCGCTGTATGCAATATTTGCATCTTTATGAGAGATTTTATTCGCAGATTAAAACTTGCCAAGAGGCGGAGGATGTGTTTTAAGAGGCAGATTGTGTGTTTTAAGAGGCAGAGGATGTTTTAAGAGGCAGGATGTGTGTATTAAGAGGTAGACTGCAAGTTTTAAGCGGCAGATTGTGTTTTAAGAGGCAGAGGATGTTTTAAGGGGCAGGATGTGTGTATTAAGAGGTAGACTGCAAGTTTTAAGCGGCAGATTGTGTTTTAAGAGGCAGAGGATGTGACTGTGATATTAACTTTAAAAAAGAACAGTTATCAAGTAACGATGGGTGAAGATATTAATGAAAGATATAGTGTAAATGCAAAGATAAAACAGGTAAAAAATACTGGAGAAAAATGATCCTAATAGATAATATTCAAACTGTTGTAGTTCTAGAAATAATGTAAACGAAGTGAGATTGGCTGTATTTGTGGGACGTTTTTGCAGTAAGTGACACGGGGGTTTAACTGAAGAATCTGGACGTGGCTGCTAAGTGCCATATTCTGGGGTTTATATTGTTCTATGTTGACATAAATAACGAGATGGAGAGTGGGGCGGCACTACATTTCTGAGTAAATTTGAAATGTAATACAAAAACGTGTGTGAAGACTGAAGGAACGCACGGTAAGTCTAGGTAGAATTTGTAGAGGAACATGGAAAGTTGATTTTAGGTGTGATATGCCGACTCCGAGCTAAGAGATCAAGTTAAGACTGCTATAAGAGGAAATTGTTAAGGCTACAAGGGACGATAACGTACTAAATTTAGGGGGGTTAACTTTACACAAACTGACTGGAATTCTTTGACTGGGAATATATGACTTTTTTTTTTAAACGGTTTGTGACAGAAACAACGAGTGGGAAATAAACCTGCCTGATTTGGTTCTGGTAAACAATAAGACCCTTGTTAATAATTTGGAGAATACTGAGGAGGTTGGAGTGAGCGACCACAAATCGATTATTTAGCACTGATTGGAAGTAGGATAGTACGGATAATTCGGTAAGGGTCCTAGATTTTCGCTAAGCAGATTACAATGAGCTTAAAGAACACCTGAACTCTTTCTTGAAAGACGTAAAATGAAGGGAGACATAATTTAAAATTTAAAGTCTATTGAATGAAGCCTTATCGTGTTATAAACGAGAAAAAAAATATTGTACGAAGAAAAATTTAGGTAACTGCTTGAAGGTCTCTCTTATGAGATACTTAGTAAAACTGAGAACGTAGAACACATCAAACATACTAGGCCAAGGGTGTAGTTACAAACAGCAATACAGTGTTCTACGTGTTTGCTTATAAGCAAGGATACTGACCAGCGGCAGCAGCAGACACAGGACAACAGACTCCAGGAACACCACCGCCCAGGTCACACTCTTGTTGGATCTGAATGAAAGTACACAACACTTCAATAGTATTATTGATATATATATTATAAAATAATAATAATAATAATATATATATATATAATATATATATATATATTATATATATATTTATATAATATATATATACATGTAAAAATGTAATATATATAAATATATATTATATAATATAATATATATATATATAATATATATATATATATATATACATATATATAAAATATATATATATATATATATTATATATATATATATATAATATATATAATATATATAATATATATATTTTTAAAAAGTCGGGCCCTCTCCCACCGAGGCAGGTGGGCCCAAAAAAAAAAGAAAATCCCCAAAAATAAAATACTTTCATCATCAACACTTTCACCACACTCACACATTAAACACTGCTTTTGCAGAGGTGCTCAGAAAACAACAGCTTAGAAGCATATACGTAAAAAGATACACAACATATCCCTCCAAACTGCCAATATCCCGAACCCCTCCTTTAAAGTGCAGGCATTGTACTTCCCAATTTCCAGGGTTCAAGTCCGACTAAAATAAAAATAACCCCGGGTTTTCCCCGAATCCCTTCACTAAATATTACCCTGCCACACTCCACAGATCGTCAGGGCCCAAATTTTCATTCGTGTCCATTTACTCCTATCTAACACACTCATGCAAGCTTGCTGGAAGTCCAAGCCTCTTGCCCCAAAACCTCCTTTACCCCCCTCTTTCCAAACCCTTTTTGAGGACGACCCCCACCCCTCCTTCCTTCCCCTAATTTATATGCTTTCCATGGTCATTCTACTTTGATCCATTCTCTCTAAATGACCAAACCACCTCAACAACCCCCCTTCTGCCCTCTGACTAATGCTTTTATTAACTCCACAAAATTCTCCTAATTTCCACACTCCGAATTTTTCTGCATAATATTTACACCACACATGCCCTTAGACAGGACATCTCCACTGCCTCCAACCGTCTCCTCGCTGCTGCATTTACCACCCAAGCTTCACATCCATATAAGAGTGTTGGTACTACTATACTTTCATACATTCCCTTCTTGCCTCCATAGATAACGTTTTTTGACTCCACATATACCTCAATGCACCACTCACTTTTTTTCCCTCATCAATTCTATGATTAACCTCATCCTTCATAAACCCATCCGCCGACACATCAACTCCCAAGTATCTGAAAACATTCGCTTCTTCCATACTGCTCCTCCCCAATTTGATATCCAATTTTTCTTTATCTAAATCATTTGATACCCTCATCACCTTACTCTTTTCTATGTTCACTTTCAACTTTCTATCTTTACACACATTCTCAAATTCATCCACTAACCTTTGCAATTTTTCTTTAGAATCTCCCATAAGCACAGTATCATCAGCAAAAAGTAACTGTGTCAGTTCCCATTTTGAATTTGATTCCCCATAATTTAATCCCACCCCTCTCCCGAACACCCAGGCATTTACTTCTTTTACAACCCCATCTATAAATATATTAAACAACCATGGTGACATTACACATCCTGTCTAAGACCTACTTTTACCGGGAAGTATTCTCCCTCTCTTCTACATACCCTAACCTGAGCCTCACTATCCTCATAAAAGCTCTTTACAGCATTTAGTAACTTACCACCTATTCCATATACTTGCAACATCTGCCACATTGCTCCTCTATCCACTCTTCATATGCCTTTTCTAAATCCATAAATGCAATAAAAACTTCCCTACCTTTATCTAAATACTGTTCACATATATGCTTCAATGTAAACACTTGATCTACACATCCCCTACCCACTCTGAAGCCTCCCTGCTCATCCGCAATATATATATATATATATATATATATATATATATATAATATATATAATATATATATATATATATATATATATATATATATATATATATATATATATATATTTCTTTCTTTCAACACATCAGCCGTATCCCACCGAGGCGGGGTGGCCCAAAAGGAAAAACAAAAGTTTCTCCTTTTACATTTAGTAATATATACAGGAGAAGGGGTTACTAGCCCCTTGCTCCCGGCATTTTAGTTGCCTCTTACAACACGCATGGCGTACGGAGGAAGAATTCTGTTCCACTTCCCCATGGAGATAAGAGGAAATAAACAAGAACAAGAACTAGAAAGAAAATAAAAGAAAACCCAGAGGGGTATGTATATATACGCTTGTACATGTATGTGTAGTGTGACCTAAGTGTAAGTAGAAGTAGCAAGATGTACCTGAAATCTTGCATGTTCATGAGACAGAAAAAAGGACACCAGCAATCCTACCATCATGTAAAACAATCACAGGCTTTCGTTTTACACTCACTTGGCAGGACGGTAGTACCTCCCTGGGCGGTTGCTGTCTACCAACCTACTACCAACCTATATATCTCGTGCCGAATAGGCAGAACTTGCCATCTTGGCTTAAATAACAACGCTCATCTTGCCATATAGGACAAGCGAAAATTTGTGTATGCAATAATTTCTCAAAAATCATTCTAAACATAACGAGAAAAATATATTTCATTGTGTTTGTTTAGTATTAAATTATTGTAAACGTATTTAAAACATATTTAGTTGGGTTAGGCTAAAATAAATTGTTCTTGTTATGATAAGGTTAGGTAAGTTTTCTAAGATTCTTCTGGTGCAAAATTAAAATTTTTTACATTAACATTAATGAAAAAAATATATCTTTAAACCTATAAGAGAAAATTTTAGAAAGCACTTAATATATATATATATATATATATATATATATATATATATATATATATATATATATATATGTAGTGCCGAATATGTAAAACTGGTCAATAAGCAAGAACTCATTTAAAATTAAGTTCTTTCTGAAATTTTCTTTTATACGTTAAAAGATATATTTTTTTCTTTAATGTTAATGTAAAAATTTTTAATTTTGCACCAAAAGAATCTTAGAAAACTTACCTAACCTTATTATAACAAGAACAATTTATTTTAGCCTAACCCAACTAAATATATTTTAGATTTGTTTACAATAATTTAATACTAAACAAACACAGCGAAATATATTTTTTTTCATTAAGTTCAGAATGATTTTGGCGAAATTATTGCATACACAAATTTTCACTTGTCCTATATGGCAAGATGAACGTTGCTATTTAAGCCAAGATCGCAAGTTCTGCCTATTCGGCACGACATATATATATATATATATATATATATATATATATATATATATATATATATATATATATATATATATATTATATATATATATATACATATATATCTCGTGCCGAATAGGCAGAACTTGCCATCTTGGCTTAAATAACAACGCTCATCTTGCCATATAGGACAAGCGAAAATTTGTGTATGCAATAATTTCTCAAAAATCATTCTAAACATAACGAGAAAAATATATTTCATTGTGTTTGTTTAGTATTAAATTATTGTAAACGTATTTAAAACATATTTAGTTGGGTTAGGCTAAAATAAATTGTTCTTGTTATGATAAGGTTAGGTAAGTTTTCTAAGATTCTTCTGGTGCAAAATTAAAATTTTTTACATTAACATTAATGAAAAAAATATATCTTTAAACCTATAAGAGAAAATTTTAGAAAGCACTTAATTTTAAATGAGTTCTTGCTAATTGACCAGTTTTACATATTCGGCACGACATATATATATATATATATATATATATATATATATATATATATATATATATATATATATATATATATATATATATATATATATATATATATATATATATATTTTCATTGATAATTATAAAATATGTTTTATCTTTGGACCAAACCTATTTTAGATACCTCATCTAACGTAATTTAAATTTGAGTATTTTTTAGCTAAATTCTGCTACGTATAGCATACGTCAGTTTATACTTATTTAATATTACATAAAATGAATATGTATATTTTCGCTATGTTCACAATGATTTCCGCTGATTTATGGCAAAAACAAATTTTCATTCTGCTAATTCGACAGAGAACACTCTTGCCGAATAACCCAAACTAGCCGGTTCTACTTAACTGGCATGACGTGTGTATGTATATATATTGCTTAACAATCCACAAACGGGCGAAATTATTTACATTGTCTCTGCGTCCACAGCAGGACTCGAACCTACTAACTCTGTATCAGAGTCCACAGTACTTTACCACGGAGCTAGACCCGCGATAAGTATGGGCGCTTAGCCGAAGCTAAGCGATGTTACCCCATACCCCCGGGCACCAAGCTCGTTTTGAAAGTTATTTCATCGAATCCTGCCACATGCAGTGGACAACGAAAGAAATTTGAAATGCTTAACAATTCGCAAACAGGCGTAGTGGACGTAGAGACAATGTTTATAAATAATTTCGCCCGTTTGCGAATTGTTAAGCATTTCAAATCTCTTTCGTTGTCCATTGCATGTGGCAGGATTCGATGAAATAACTTTCAAAACGAGCTTGGTGCCCGGGGGTATGGAGTAACATCGCTTAGCTTCGGCTAAGCGACTCTGAAACAGAGTTAGCAGGTTCGAGTCCTGCTGCGGACGTAGAGACAATGTTTATATGTATCATCGGAGGGTGTCCAACAAGGAGATCCTCTTGCACCATTTCTCTTCTGTATAGCAGTTAGGGAAATCACAGTCAGACTGACCAGCGAGCTAAACATCTGGTTCCTAGATGATGGCACACTAGCAAGTACAAAAGAGTCCCTCCTACATGACCTGACACAGGTAATGACACGGGGACAGGAAATGGGTCTCATCCTGAATCCATCCAAATGTGAAATCATCTCAGTCAGTCAATGAGTGATAAATGCAGTGAGATCAAAACTACCAAGAGCAGCAGTCATTTCCCCCACAAATAGTGTCTTGCTAGGAGCACCTCTGGGAAGCAATGCCATTGACAATTCTCAGGAAGAAATTGGAAGAGTTAAGGAGAATGGAACAACGAATAGGCAATCTGGACACCCACGATGCCTTGTACCTTCTCACAAAGTGCTTGAGTCTGCCCAGGTTGACATATTTCCTAAGATGTGCACCTTCATATGATAACCCTATACTGCACGAATATGACAGTATTCTGAGGCAGATTTTTACGAAAGTACTTAACCTTACTCTAGAAGACGGGCAGTGGAACCAAGCTACACTTCCAGTCAGACTAGGAGGCATTGGTGTCCGCAAGTCATCACAGATTGCGTTACCTGCTTTTCTGTCCTCGTGTATTGCATCCAGAGAGCTTGTAGCAGCGATTCTCCCTGAACATCTTAGGGACAAGATTGGAGTCCAGGACCAAAAATTCATTGACGGAGCAATGATCTGGGATAATCTAACGGGCTCTGAAACCAGACCTGCTCCCCCCAACAACTACAAACAATCGCACTGGGATGGTCCAACAGTGGAAAATATTGCCTCAACAATGCTTCAGAGTGTGTCAGGGAAGGATAGAGCCCGCCTCCTGGCAGTGAGAGCCCCTCATGCTGGGGACTTTCTGTTGGCTGTTACCAACTCCAGCCTTGGCACACGTCTCGACCCACAGACCATCCGCATCGGTGTTGCCCTTCGACTTGCCGCCCCTATTCTCGCCGAACACAGGTGTATTTGTGGCAGTGAAGCAGCAGACCGATTCGGGTACCATGGTCTTGTGTGCCGTAAATCCGAGGGAAAGATTGCAAGACATGAGGAGGTTAATAACATTATCAAGAGGAGCCTCACAACAGCTGGATGCCCAGCAGTAAGGGAGCCACCCCAACTATGCAGATCTGATGGCAGCCAGAAGCGTCCAGATGGTATCACCCTTCAAGCCTGGACAGATGGGAAGCAGGTGGTGTGGGACTATACATGTGCATCTACCTTGGCTACCTATCTCCAATACACCAGGGAAGAAGGAGGGGCAGCTGCCAGCTTCAGGAAGTCCCAAAAATCTAGGAAATATGGAGAACTTGCCCATCATTATATGTTTGTTCCCATAGGCTCAGAGACCCTTGGCTCATGGGGAAAGAGTGCATCTAAATTCCTTAAGGAGCTGGGAAAAAGACTCATCAGGGTAACTAGGGATCCCAGGGCAGCTAGTTTTCTGTTCCAGCGGCTCAGTGCGGCTGTTCAAAGGGGTAATGCCTGCTGTATTTTGGGCACACGCCCCAGCTCTGAGGAGCTGGATGAGATTTTCGCCTTATAATAGGTGATACACACGTAACAACATGTACCGTATATGCCACCTTTATATCAACAATGTATCTCTTAAATCTTCTGTACCATAATATGTAATAAAATATTCCTATATAATATATATATATATATATATATATATATATATTATATATATATATATATTATATTATGCATGCATGTATTCCCTGATCCATTGCTATGCCTTCCATGTTATCCCTGTCTGGTCCTCCAGCTTTTGCACTAATCTCTTGTGTGGAGCTGTATCAAACACGTTCTTACAGTCCAAGAAAACCCTATCTACTCACCCCTCTCTCTCTCTTGTCTTACTGCTGTCACCCTGTCATAGAACTCCAGTAGGTTTGTAACACAGGACTTCCAGTCCCTGAAACCGTGCTGATTGTCGTTGATAAGCTCAGTCCTTTATAGGTGCTCCACCACTCTTCTTCCGATAATTTTGTGTGTGTACTCACCTAATTGTGGCTGCAGGGGTCGATACTCAGCTTCTGGCCCTGCCTCTTCACTGATCGCTACTAGGTTACCCCGAATGTGTGTGTGTGTGTGCGTGCGTGTGTGTGTAGTCACGTAATGGTTGCAGAGACCGATTCACAGCTCTTGGCCCCACCTCTTCACTGATTGCTACTAGGTTACTCTTCCTGCTCCACGAGCTTTATCATACCTCTTAAAGCTATGCATGGATCCTGCCTCCACTACATCACTTCCCAGACTATTCCACTTCTGACAACTCTGTAGCTGAAGAAATACTTCCTAACATCCCTATGATTCACCTGAGTCTTCAACTTTCAACCGTGACCTTGTTGCTGTGTCTCATCTCTGGAACATCCTGTCTCTGTTCACCTTGTTGATTCCTGTCGGTATTTTATGTCTTTATCATATCCCCCCATCTCTCCTGTCCTCCAGAGTCGTCAGGTCGATTTCCCTTAACCTCTCCTCGTAGGCCATGCCCCTTAGCTCCGGGACTAGTCTCGTTGCAAACCTTTGCGCTTTCTTTAGTTTCCTTACGTGCTTGGCTAGGTGTGAGTTCCAAATTGGTGCTGTATGTGTGTGTGTGTGGGGGGGGGGGGGTTGCGCGCGCGTGGGCGCGCGTCACAAAAATATTAATGCCTTGGTTAAGACAAAACTTTAAGAAAAAGTTAAATTCATTAAATATGTGGGAATAATTGTGTTGGTCCTCGTCATATTGAGGTGATAAATTCGTTTAAAATGTCCAATATCAAGCTGGCTGCCATAGAAATTTTTCTATCGTATTCACTTTGGAAAAAATCTAACGAAACCCGACATAACCTACCGTAACCCATCCTAACCTAACGTACAACGTTATCAGCCTCTCTATGCCTACGTTAGCTGTGACTGGCCAGGCGTAACTTATGACTAACTCAGTATTCAGTGTTGAACTCGTCCTGATGTGGCATTCAAGCCCATATAATTTTTTTTTTCTTGCTAATGTCTTCCAAAATAACAATCTGCATAAGAAATAAATAGGAGTTTAGATAACTTAAACGTAATCTAAAATGTAAAAAAAATGTCTGCGTTCAGTCGAGGAGCATATTTCAATTATGGACAAAAATGCTAACTACCATGCATTAAAAATGGGGTAAAATTCATCAATCATTATAAAAATATTGTATATTTTCTCTGCTATGTATACTACCAGTCATACTGTCTCACGAGTGTACCTGGTCAACGTATGGTGCGCAGGCCGCAATGAACACGCAGTTACAGCCACCTCCTTGTGCTGGTGAACTGCCCCCTGGCCTGCCTCCTGGCCTGCCTCCTGGCCTGCCACCTGGCCTTCCTCCTGGTAAAGAAAAATAGGAATGAATATTCTGTCATAATATATATATATATATATATATATATTATATATAATATATATATATATATATATATATATAATATATATATATATATTTATCACACTGGCCGATTCCCACCAAGGCAGGGTGGCCCGAAAAAGAAAAACTTTCACCATCATTCACTCCATCACTGTCTTGCCAGAAGGGTGCTTTACACTACAGTTTTTAAACTGCAACATTAACAAGGAATTCGCAAGAGCAGGCGAAATATACACAAACACTGATCTCTGGCCGAAGGAGACTCGAACTTACGAACCTTGGAACAAGGTACGCAGTGCTTTACCATCCTCACCACAGTGGACAATACCTTGGCGCCCAGCTCATGCTAGACGTTGATCCAAGGCAGCCAGCTTTCAGGCGGGAGGCTTACAGCTTTCATCTCATCCCCTGCATGCATCGACCAACTAGAGATTTTAACAATGTAACGAATTCGCAAGAGCAGGCGAAATATACACAAACACTGATCTCTGGCCGAAGGAGACTTGAACCTACGAACCTTGGAACAAGGTACGCAGTGCTTTACCATCCTCACAGTGGTATAAGACAATTTATGCTTATAAATAAAGCTTATTAATTTAGGTCCTATGTTACTTGGAACTGTATGTTATCTCTTAGGCTACTGGACCGTAAATAGGAGTTTTTGCCTACGGTGAAGCGAAGTCTGCAGGAGTCAGCTGTATGATGGATCTCAGATCAATAATGTAACCATCTGGTCCCTCTATTAGGATTTGTCGTAATCAGATTTTGTCGCTAATATAGCGAGAGACTAAGTACACTCAAGGCAGTAACACCGTTCCTCCTATTCCCACACAGGATGGTTACAAATACATATCAGAATTGCTAAAATCATTCATCTTGCATACTAAAGTTGACAATGCTGCATGAGCCCTAACTTAGTCTGACAGTCTACACGGAGAGTTAAAAAGCCTAGAACAAAGGAATTAAGATCATTTTAGGAAATACTTGTACCACCAAATTGCTTTTTATACACGGGGATAAACACATGTGGAAGAAGATACATACATACAGTTATGACATTTATTAAGAAATGTTTCCAATAATGTCCTTAGTCAAAGGACTAAATAGGCCGACATGACGTGGAAGACAACGGTATAGTTGTCTTCCACATCATGTCGGCATCGTGATTACTAGCCTTCTCAACAACAACACAAACTTTCCTAAGCCAATCATTTTCATAGTAATACACAGCTATCAGATCCATATCAACATACAAACCCTCTAGACTTATTCAGATTTCTAAATCTGCTACGTATATAATCCCGTGTGAAAAAAATAATAATAATTGAACTTTGTGTCAGAGGAAAGAAAGTCTCCCTGAAAACATTGAGTATACATAGTGTATAGTGTATACTACAGTGGCTCCCTAGTATATTGATGATAAAGGCTAAAGTGTCATTTGAAAATAGGTGAATTTGTAAATGAAGTGATAAGCCTATAGAGACAGGTGCCAGAAGTCGCCAGAAACTTACCACAGGTCAGCTGTTTTTAATAATCTTCCTGGCCTGCTAGTGTACTCGCATATAATCTAGTGATACAAGTGAAGAGCAGAATACAGTGTTGTAGTAGCAACTAACCAGTATTATAATGGTACTTAGTGGAGTGGAGTGACTTTCATTAGTTTCTTTTTTCTTGAAATACCAGACGTATACTGTGAATTTCATATAACCTGTAGTTATCAGCGGTCGCAATATACACAACGAGAAGCAATTATTACTACAGAAAAAGCGTCCTTCCTCCAAAATTTGCACCAGTCAACTATAGTGATAATATAGCATTTATTGTGGTGGAGACGGAAAAAAAAATAGAGAAGCTAGATACAGCGATTGATAAACAAGGGTGGAGGTCGACCGTTTCGTCATTGTAGGAGTGCCAGCAGTCACCGGCTCTTCAACACGCAAGTTGTACTTTTGTATCAATCAAATCACATATTACTCGGGTAGATAATTTCCAGTAGATCCTTCATGTGTTAGCTCAAATCACCGACCAGTATGGTTTAAATAAGTGACCCACTGATCAGATCAGATAGACTGGTCCAAACCCTTGACTGGTCCGAACCCTTGACTGGTCCGAACCCTTGACTGGTCCGAACCCTTGACTGGTCCGAACCCTTGACTGGTCCGAACCCTGGACTGGTTTCAAACGGTTTCGTTGTGCACTACCTAGCAGGTTATTAATAGAATATTCAAGAGGTTGCTAGTAGAATTGCAGTAAATCAACCATTCAAATCATTATGAAGCTGTGTGTAGTCTGTGGTCAGTCAAAAAAACGGGCTTCCACTTGGGTAAATTCTCATTTTTGTGGAAATTGGTGTCACGCCCTTGTGCAGATATCCAAGAACTAGCTACAAGCAGTATTAAAACAGGGAAGTGTTTTTGGGTATGCCCAAATGAGATAAATCTGTGGACTAAAATCACAAGGGTATTAAAAGAGGTCAACATCAAAGCTGCTTTCATAGAAAACCTGGAAGCTTTCTACAACAGATGGGAACATAAAAAGTCTGGGCTGAATGGTACTGCCCTTGATACTGGCCATGTAGTCAGAAACTGTAAGGCTGGAGATGATGTCCTGGTAGTCAGTAAATGGGGGGCTGATAGTGGTCCTGGGAGACAGTAATGGTGAAGCTGGAGGTGCTGTCCTGGGAGACAGTAATGGTGAAGCTGGAGGTGCGGTCCTGGGAGACAGTAATGGTGAAGCTGGAGATGCTGTCCTGGGAGACAGTAATGGGGAAGCTGGAGATGCTGTCCTGGGAGACAGTAATGGTGAAGCTGGAGATTTTGTCCAGGTAGTCGGGAATTATACGCAGGAAGGAATACATATAAATGACCTCATAGGGGACAGGAGCCATAGTAGGGAAACAAGTGTAGTCAAAGATAAGATAAAACCAATATTGCAAACTAGAAATACCGCAGGAAATAGCAAACAAGAGGACTCCACTAGCAATAGTGAGGATATATTACCAAAAACAACTGGTGGGAGCTCCATTGTTGGTGCTAGGGAGGATAGAAGTAAGACAGGGAAACATGCACCAACAGGGAATACAGTCACAGAAACCCAAGGCAAATGGAAACCAAGCCTGTGCAAATACTATGCACTCGGTATCTGCTGGCATGGGAAATCTGGAAAAAACAGATGGGACGTGCAACTATGACCACCCTAGAAAATGCCATGCCCATATAACAACAGGAAAATGCAAACTCCCTTCCTGTAAGCTTTTTCACCCTGAACTGTGTACCTCTTCAGTACAGGAAAGACTGTGCTATAACTTAAATTGCCAGGCATACCATCTAAAGGGGACAAAAAGATACAAAACATCCAGGCCATGGGAAAACCTGGGTAGCCACAGCCACTCAAGAGGGAGAGGTTTTTTAGTGCCAGGAAGGAAAAAAAACTGGCAGGAAATGGCAGAAATCGTACACCAAATCCAGTCATTCCTGGAGTGGAACCACAGTCGATGGCCTCCACTCCAAACCAACAGATACAGATACTAATGCCGGAAAAAAAATCCCCCCCCCAGTACCAACAATACCACCAGTCCGATAACATTCTTCTTTGCAAATATACAGGGTCTAAAGCCAGCAACAAACAACAAAATACCTTTCATCCGTGGACTGCTTGCAGAGGTAAAGGCAATGTTCGCGGCTTTCACTGAGACCCACATAAAGGATCACTTGGACAACGAAATATGGATCCCAGGTTACAACCTATACAGATGTGAGAGTGAACAGGCAAAAGGGGGGGGGGTTGGCCTGTACATTGCAGAGTCACTTGTTTGCACAGAACTGCTAAATGCCTCAAATGATGTAGTGGAAGTTTTAGCAGTAAAGGTCGAGAACCAAAACCTAGTCATTGTGGTAGTCTACAAGCCTCCGGATGCAACATCCCAGCAATTCCAGGAACAGCTGTTAAAAATTGACCACTGTCTGGAAAACCTTCCAGCTCCTGCACCCAACATCTTGCTCCTGGGGGATTTCAACTTAAGGCACCTAAAATGGAGGAATATAGCAAATAATATTGTTGCAGTAATAACACCAGGAGGCAGCTCTGATGAAAACTCACACTCACGCGAGCTTTTAAATCTCTGCACAAAATTCAATTTAAACCAGCAAATCTTCATCAGAGTACAAAACAAATTCTGGCCACAAAATAGAGCGAAACACCAACGTCAAAGACCTGGGAGTGATCATGTCGGAGGATCTCACCTTCAAGGACCATAACATTGTATCAATCGCATCTGCTAGAAAAATGACAGGATGGATAATGAGAACCTTCAAAACTAGGGAGGCCAAGCCCATGATGACACTCTTCAGGTCACTTGTTCTATCTAGGCTGGAATATTGCTGCACACTAACAACACCTTTCAAGGCAGGTGAAATTGCCGACCTAGAAAATGTACAGAGAACTTTCACGGCGCGCATAACGGAGATAAAACACCTCAATTATTGGGAGCGCTTGAGGTTCCTAAACCTGTATTCCCTGGAACGCAGGAGGGAGAGATACATGATTATATACACCTGGAAAATCCTAGAGGGACTAGTACCGAACTTGCACACGAAAATCACTTACTACGAAAGCAAAAGACTTGGCAGACGATGCACCATCCCCCCAATGAAAAGCAGGGGTGTCACTAGCACGTTAAGAGACCATACAATAAGTGTCAGGGGCCCGAGACTGTTCAACTGCCTCCCAGCACACATAAGGGGGATTACCAACAGACCCCTGGCAGTCTTCAAGCTGGCACTGGACAAGCACCTAAAGTTAGTTCCGGATCAGCCGGGCTGTGGCTCGTACGTTGGTTTGCGTGCAGCCAGCAGCAACAGCCTGGCTGATCAGGCTCTGATCCACCAGGAGGCCTGGTCACAGACCGGGCCGCGGGGGCGTTGACCCCCGGAACTCTCTCCAGGTAAACTCCAGGTAATATAGATATATTATAATTGTTACTACATTTTAAAACCTTGAGAGCTGTAACAGAACACAAAGACATGATATAAGAACAAATATATCGTCAATATTCCTCGTGTTCGAGTAAATCATTGTGAAAATATACATATAAGCGGGTTTTCTATCCCCCCCCTCGTCAAAAAAAATGAAAACCTACTAGAATAAACCAAAAGTTGTAAAACACTTAAAAAAGTTTTTAAAATGTCAAATAACATTAATTGAGCCTTTCCAAGCGTCACTCTTCGTACGTTTGCGAATATTTATTACTATTATTATTACTTGAGGTAAATAATAATAATGCAGCCAACTTAATTTATAAAACACTGGATGCATTATCATTTGTATCCTGTATAATCTGTCAGTGTTATAAACAAGAGATATATTTGGTGATAACCAGATCTGTATCACGTCACGTCCTACAGCCACAGATAAATAGGAACCCTTCTGGGCTGAGGTTGATTACCCTGGAAAAAAGGTCAGTTAGATAACCGCAAGGTAGAAAAAGAAGATAACTAGTCAAGCAGGAGAAAGCTACCTCCAAGAGATTTGTCAAGATGTATATGATATTTTGCAAGACACTTTCTGAAGGAAATATTCTCCACTCCCGTGTCTTTGGTGCAGAATATAAGCTCCTCTGAGATTATTTTGGTAAACAAAGAGTAGGATACAACCAAGGAACTTTAAACAGGATACTTAAAAGTAGTCTGTAATTTACGAAGCGCTGAACCCATGTGGGTCTTAGTACAAGTAGTGGTGGAGACTCCTTCCGTCTTAGTACAATAAGTCTCGAAGAAGCAGCATAAAAATTGTATTTGCCTAACTAGATAATTATAGACTAGGATGTTTCTGACTGCACTAGCATGTTTCAACCTATCTTTGCATTAGGATGGTTCAATCTGGATGTTTGTTTCACTGTTGCTTTGGTTATAAACACAGCACACACACAGATTCTTTAAACTTGCCTCACTACTACTACTACTACTACTACCACCACCATACATTGATCGTAACAATAATTTACAAACAAGATGGATTGTTCAGTAAGCTGTGGAAGGGCCAGTGAGCCAGTGATACAAATAACGACCGGAAGGAAAGGAAGAGCCGAGAGGAAAATCCAACCTGATTTTGGTTCAGGCTTTAGGAAATACCGACGCTTTGGGATATAATAATAATTAAGGTAGGGAAACGAGAGGTGCTCGGGTAATCAGCCTTGATCAGAGAAAGTGGAGAGCATCTCCAATTCTTTGGTTCAAGACCCCTTCACCAGCATTAAGGTAAAAGCCCCTTGAAAAGGGACGTTCTGGGTTACAGCCAACGTTTAGCAAACTGCCTGGGAGTCTCAACAGTACAGGTGGACGACCTCACAAGCTCAGAACAACCTCACCAACCCTAGAGGTTGACCTCGCCATCGTAGGAAGCTGACCTCGCCAACATTAGAGGTCGACCTCGCCAACCCTAGAGATCGACCTCACAATTCACAAACTGACTATTTACCATAGGTTAGGCAAATGCATGTGGACAAGGCACAGACAAATTGGAACACGTATAACAGCAATACGAATAAAAGAACAAAATAAAGACAATGCAATGTACAAAGGATCATCTTATGATGAATAAGTTAAACAATAAGAAATACTGGGTTAACCAGTATGTCAGTGGAAGACCTCGGACCCATGTAACTTAGACCGTCAGGAGAAATTTTCCCCAACTAATAAATTATTCTCTCCCCCCATGAAAATATGCAGTCTACCAAAAAAAAAAAAAGCAAAGTCAATGAAACTAACAACATACACATGGGAATTATATTGTTGTTTTCATGAAGATCAAAGTACTGAACACCAAACTTCACTTTGTGACATAAAACTCTCTCTTTACACCCATCCAAAACGGTGTGAGGCCCAATTAACTTTTCTTACATCTGTCTCTTTCTACCCACATTTTTTTTTCCACCACCACTGTTCTATCTCCAATCTTTCCTATTCCCATTCTTACCATCCTTTTTATGCTCCCTTCCTTTCACATTCTCGCCATAAAAAAAAAAAACTGATATCACGATCATTCTAGACGTCAGTTCCCTCAAGGTTAACCAGTTTGATCTTCCGAGCGCGTCATTATTGCAACACCATCAAGCACATATTTATTTCACTTTAGAGAATATAATTTATTTTATAACATACTTTTAAGAGACTTACGTAAGTTCCAGTGTATGGCGGCTGCCCTGCTTCTAAATGTCACGAGTTGAAAGTCAAAATCTGATGACCAATTAAATGCTGCGTAGTCACTACCATTGTACGTATATACTATACACACTCCCACTGTACACACTACCACTAGTAGACGCTACCACTGTACCGTGACTGGAACAATGTACAAATAACCCGCACATAGGAGAAAGAAGCTTCTTTCACTTATGTGCAGGTTGTGTTGTGTACCACTGTACACGGAACTACAGTAAACACTACCATTGATGTTAAAAATCATAGGGATGATACAGCGCCTGAAAGGTAACAGGATTCAATCCAGAGGAGAGGACAAGTCCAATTCCTTGGATCAAGAGCCCTTCACCGGCATGAAGACACCTTCCTGGAGGGAACACTGCTACCGAGTATGGTAGATTCCACTACTGTGTGTAGTATATACATTACCACTTCACTACTGTAAGTAGTATGTGCAGTACCACTCCACCACAGTGTTTGGAGTATACCAATTGATATAAATTACGCAACTCCTTCCAATGATGTCTTCAGATATCATTTACACTGACTGACATACCTTTCCAACACTGTTGCAAGTGTAGCAACACTGCATAGCTCCCGATGACGCACGGAGATGTGTGAAAGTACTTGAGCAGAAGATTTCTATCCCCAGTGGCTTGTCTTGCATATAATGTGTGTGTGTATGTGTGTGTGTGTGTGTGTGTGTGTAAGAGAGAGGGAAAACTTCTCAGGCAGACACTTCTTGGGGAAACACGTTACTTACACCAACAGCCGGTTCTCTGGCCTTGACAGTTCTTGGGGAAACACGTTACCAACACCAGCCGGTACTTTGGCCTTGACTTAGCAGGTTCAATATTCAAACTTTTTTTTCCGTGATTTCTCGCAGCTTCATCAGTCTAGTTTTTGTGGTCAGTGTTCGACGTATTGTGCTTAGCAGAGTGCCAACTCATGCTTGGTTAACTGACCCTAAAGTCTGTTGACTTCTATAAGGGTCATTAAGGCTGCATGTAATATGTTCCCTAATCAAGAGATTTAAGTAAATTTCTCAGCTTATTTGCACTGACTGACATACCCTTCTAACCAGTCTCTAAATACTGAAACTTTTCAAGAGGTACTCTCGAATTTATATAACATGAATACAAAGTTCACACAACGTTACATGTAAAATTGGTAAATAAGCGCCAGGACATTTGAATTTCACTTTCTGCCGTCGTCGTTTGAACGACTGAAGCCAAGCAGCACAGGCTTTAGTAAGCTATTGGAGCCATTCAGTGTTCCCAGAATCTTGCCTGGAAAATCCTGTATTTTAAACCAACTGGATGAGGCCTGACATGCACCGCATACTAGTGGCTTAATTTGATGCCTAACAATATTTTATTACATGTAAACTACATTACCTGTTTACTGCAGAAAATAAATCTGTATGAAAGAAAAATGAAACACTGGAGCAAGGAAAAAAATTTAAACCATTTAAAGGCACGGTCTGAGTGTGAATATGATGGTATTCGACTGAAGAAGCTTACTATGTAGGAGAAACGTTTAGGAATAAAGATACCCAACTCTTGCACATGTTTCTTAAAGGCACGCTTCGGAGATACCTAATAATCTTTTGAGGCAGATAACTTTAAGGATATCTTCCACACTGGCTTTCACAATGGCCTGTATCTCGTGATCACATAGATGAACAAAGCACTGGACTCTTGTCCAGTAATTACTGCATATTTATGTTGTTTAATTCTGGTTGCATGAGACTTTCCAGTTTGTCCTAAATAAAAGGTATCACAGTTTTTACAATGGATGGAGTAGACACAACCCAAAAATTCCTTGGGAGAATTTTTAATTTTTGTTTTACGGTACTGTCATATAATGAAATACTCTCTCACTTGTGGGAGGTGAGAGAGTATTTCATTATATGTACAACCAACAACTTTTCAAACTAAAAAAAATTAAACCTTTCTGCTACGTACCCCCTTCAGAGTGCAGGAAGACACACTTGTAGATACTCTCCCAATCCACGACGGTAAAGATGGTGAATACATCAGCGCGCAGCGAATACAGAACTACCAGACTGGATACACCCACTAATAAACCACATCACATTCACCATATAAGGAAGGACAAACTTTTATTGCCACAATGTTGCTGAAGAACTTGATAAAGCTGTTCATAGAACATTACCACACTAGAACTTCTCTCTGTATCTGTCTTTCCTTCATCAGAAGAACGCTTTTGTATCCAATACAAACAAAGCTACAAACCTTGACCCGGAAAGTTAATTTGAGCGTCCAGGGGCGCCACCAGCGCCACCACCACCATCAGCCACCAGAACATCGTCCGCTACTCCAACTATTTCTTCCTGCCGAGAGAAAAAGACGTCAGTCAATTATCAGGTATATTCCAGAGAGAGAAACAAACCCGTGGAGGTGTCATACATCACCTAGGGAAGAGAAGTCAATCCCGTATGAACTTGAGAAAGGGAAGAGAGCCCCCCAGTGTTCCGGATCAAGTACACATTGAAGGGTACACCAGATAATAAAGCGAATTTGTGTATGAAAAAGCGAATTTGTGTATGAAGTCGTCTTAAAGTAGTGGTAGTTGAGTTAGTAGCGGCAGCAAGTTAGTAACAGCAGTATAGCAGTGGTAGCTGAGTTTCTTACAATAAATGAAGGAGAGGTAAATGATGATCCTTAGACGAACAGCAACAATGGCTGCTGACTCACCCGTAATGAAATCTGCAGTCTGAGTGTCCTTACATAACCTACATCTCGGCTATAACTCAGCTATACATCAGCTACACCTCAGCTATACATCAATAACATGACACCTACACGTCAGCTACATGTCACCTACGAGTCACCTACACCTCAAAACAAATCCCATGATATGCACAACAACGAAAGCATGAAATCATCAGTCGCAACCGAGGCACTGTAGGATATTTCTGTGTAAGTGTACACTCACGAGGAAGAACACTTCATATTACATTCACTAAAACACTAAACTTGTAATCGAACAGCACCCCTGAATACCACACAAAGAGCCTATCCCTGAGTACTACTCAGAGCCTATCCCTGAGCACTACTCAAACAGCCTATCTCTGAATACCACTCAAACAGCCTATCCCTGAGTACTACTCAGAGCCTATCCGAGTACTACTCAGAGCCTATCCCTGAGCACTACTCAAACAGCCTATCCCTGAATGTCAAACAGCCTATCTAAGTACTACTCAGAGCCTATCCATGAGCACTACTCAAACAGCTTATCCCTGAATACCACTCAAACAGCCTATCCCTGAGCACTACTCAGACTATCTGAGTACTACTCAAACAGCCTATCCCTGAGTACTAAACAGCCTATCCCTGAGTACTACTCAAACAGCCTATCCCTGAGTACTACTCACACATCCTATTCCTGAGTACTACTTAAACAGCCTATCCCTGAGTACTAAAACAGCCTATCCCTGAGTACTAAAACAGCCTATCCCTGAGTACTACTTAAACAGCCTATCCCTGAGTACTACTTAAACAGCCTATCCCTGAGTACTACTTAAACAGCCTATCCCTGAGTACTACTTAAACAGCCTATCCCTGAGTACTACTTAAACAGCCTATCCCTGAGTACTACTTAAACAGCCTATCCCTGAGTACTACTTAAACAGCCTATCCCTGAGTACTACTTAAACAGCCTATCCCTGAGTACTACTTAGCCTATCCCTGAGTACTACTTAAACAGCCTATCCCTGAGTACTACTTAGCCTATCCCTGAGTACTACTTAAACAGCCTATCCCTGAGTACTACTTAAACAGCCTATCCCTGAGTACTACTTAAACAGCCTATCCCTGAGTACTACTTAAACAGCCTATCCCTGAGTACTACTTAGCCTATCCCTGAGTACTACTTAAACAGCCTATCTCTGGAAGTATTGCTTACTCTACCTATAAACGCTTCTCAAAACACTTTTCTTCATTTTTATGAAAATTTCACAATTCAGGTGCGCATGTAATCAAATATTTATGACTGAGGTTGAAGCAGAAATTTATTGTTCTTGTTTTGGTTTACAGCTAATTAAAATATAGCCAGAGTAGAATGAATCTAAATGTATTAAAGAAATATTACCAATAACTGTAATATCTTAAGCAGAACACGACTTGTAAAATACAAGAGTTTGAATGTCCTAAGGCAAAATACGAGGAAATAATTCCAAGGCGAAGCTTGTGGTATTTGAGGGAGAGAGAGAAAGACAGAGAAAAATAAAAAGAGAGAGCTCAGAGAGAAGGTGGGTGAAGGGGCTTACAAAGAATATATATATGCAATATCAACAACTCACGGCGAGAGAGTATCCACGGGTGCTGCTGCCCAGGTGGAGTCTGGACCTTCACTGAGGTTCCTGCAGACCAACACGGACCACTTGGTACGCCAGACTACTACACCTCCTCAATAATGTTTTCTTCTTTGTATAGTATTTATCCCCGCAAGCTGTCGGTGAAGTTACAATTGTTCACTGCAGTGTATTATATATATGAGAAGAAAATATTCAAACAGCTCCGGGGAGAACCTTGAGTTTTCCCTGAGGTACGTTTATTGTCTTCTCTGAGGATGAGAGTCCCCAGTCCAGTTATAGAGGTGGTACCTCCCTATATTTCTTAAATATATATATACACGTATATATATATTTTGTTAACAAGTCGGCCGTCTCCCACCGAGGCAGGGTGACCCAAAAAGAAAGAAAATCCCCAAAAAGAAACAAAATCCCCGAAAAGAAAATACTTTCATCATCATTCAACACTTTCACCTCACTCACACATAATCACTGTTTTTGCAGTTTAGAAGCATATACGTATAAAGATACATAACATATCCCTCCAAACTGCTAATATCCCGAACCCCTCCTTTAGAGTGCAGGCATTGTACTTCCCATTTCCAGGACTCAAGTCCGGCTATATAAAAATAACCGGTTTCCCTGAATCCCTTCACTAAATATTACCTGCTAACACTCCAACAGATCGTCAGGTCCCAAATACCATTCGTCTCCATTCACTCCTATCGAACACGCTTATGCACGCCTGCTAGAAGTCCAAGCCCCTCGCCCACAAAACCTCCCTTACCCCTTCCTTCCAACCTTCTCGAGGACGACCCCTACCCCGCCTTCCTTCCCCTACAGATTTATATGCTCTCCATGTCATTCTACTTTGATCCATTCTCTCTAAATGACCAAACCACCTCAACAACCCCTCCTCAGCCCTCTGACTAATACTTTTATTAACTCCACACCTCCTAATTTCCACACTCCGAATTTTCTGCATAATATTTACACCACACATTGCTCTTAGACAGGACATCTCCACTGCCTCCAACCGTCTCCTCGCTGCTGCATTCACAACCCAAGCTTCACACCCATATAAGAGTGTTGGTACTACTATACTTTCATACATTCCCTTCTTTGCCTCCATAGATAACGTTTTTTGTCTCCACATATACCTCATTGCACCACTCAACTTTTTTCCCTCATCAATTCTATGATTAACCTTAAGATTGACAACACTCTAATTACCAGAAATAATGGGGGAAAATTCCTTGGCTTATACCTTGACAACAACCTGAATTTCAGCACCCATATCCAGCATATAGCCAAAAAAGTATCCAAAACTGTTGGGATCCTCTCCAAGATACGATACTACGTGCCGCAAAATGCCCTTCTCACACTATACCACTCACTTATTTATCCATACCTCACCTATGCTATTTGTGCTTGGGGATCAACTGCAGCAACACACCTAAAGCCAATAATAACCCAACAAAAAGCTGCAGTAAGAATAATCACTAAATCCCATCCCTGGCAGCACACCCCCCTACTCTTCAAAGATCTAAACTTACTCCCAGTTCAGTACATCCACACTACTGTGCAATCTATATCTACAGGGCCTTAAACTCTAATATCAACCTTGACCTAAAACGCTTTCTTGATAGTTGTGACAGAACCCACAGGCATAACACCAGACACAAACATCTCTACGACATTCCCCGTGTCCGACTAAACCTTTACAAAAATTCAATGTATGTCAAAGGCCCTAAAATCTGGAATACCCTACCTGAGAACTCTAGAACTGCAGACACATTCATCACCTTCAAAACTACCATTAGAAAAACTCTTATCTCCTGATACACCCCGTCAACTAACTACACGAATACCACTGGTGGTTCACACTTACACTCGCTCACTCATTTGACCATAAACAGAAATATTAATCTCAGTCTTAAAATAATGAATCCTGTGATACTCCAATACTGAAACTATATACTGTGCCAAAACAAAAGCATTCACATTGCTAAACTCATAAACTAGTATTTAGTCACTTAGCCGTAAGACCAACTTACCTCATAATTTGTAATATTTTACAATTAAGAATAAAACTAAGTATGCCCGAAATGCCTAGCCATGCTAAGCGTTCTAGTGGTACACTCTGTAATCACAATTTTACTACATGTAAACCAAACAATAACCAAATTTCTGTAAACTCAGCATTGTAATCCTTATAGAGAATAAACTTTGAATTGAATTGAATTGAATTGAATCCTTCATAAATCCATCCGCCGACACGTTAACTCCCAAGTATCTGAAAACATTCACTTCTTCCATACTCCTCCTCCCCAATTTGATATTCAATTTTTCTTTATCTAAATCATTTGATACCCTCATCACCTTACTTTTTTCTATGTTCACTTTCAACTTTCTACATTTACACACACTCCCAAACTCATCCAGTAACCTTTGCAATTTTTCTTTTGAATCTCACATAAGCACAGTATCATCAGCAAATTTTCTTATTCTTTTTAGTAATTATTACAGGAAATGGGGTTACTAGCCCATTGTTCCCGGTATTTTAGTTGACTTTTACAACACGCATGGCTTACCGAGGAAAGATTCTTATTCCACTTCCCCATGGATATAAAAGGAAAAGTAATAAGACCAAGAACTATTAAGATAAAATCAAAGAAAACTCATATGAGTGTATATAAATAAACATGTACATGTATGTGTAGTGTGACCTAAGTGTAAGTAGAAGTAGCAAGACGTACCAGTAATCTTGCATATTTATGAGACAGACAAAAGACACCAGCAATCCTACCATCATGTAAAACAATTACAGGCTTTCGTTTCACACTCACTTGGCAGGACGGTAGTACCCCCCTGGGAGGTTGCTGTCTACCAACCTACTACCTATTAATTAATTAATTAATTAAATATATATATATATATATATATAATATATATATATATATATATATATGTCGTGTCGAATAGGTAAAAACTAGTTAATTAGCAAGAACTCATTTAAAATTAAGTCCTTTTTCAAATTTTCTCTTGTACTTTCAAAGATATATAATTTTTCATTTATGCTAATGTAAAAATTAATAATTTTGTAACAAAAGAACTTAGAAAACTTACCTAACTTTATTATAACAAGATAAGATTTCGTTCGGATTTTTAACCCCGGAGGGTTAGCCACCCAGGATAACCCAAGAAAGTCAGTGCGTCATCGAGGACTGTCTAACTTATTTCCATTGGGGTCCTTAATCTTGTCCCCCAGGATGCGACCCACACCAGTCGACTAACACCCAGGTACCTATTTGCTGCTAGGTGAACAGGACAATAGGTGTAAGGAAACGTGTCGGAATTTCCACCCGCCGGGAATCGAACCCGGGCCCTCCGTGTGTGAAGCGGGAGCTTTAGCCACCAGACCACCGGGCCTAATCTAGCTAAATATATTTTAAATAAGTTTATAATAATTAAATAATAATAAACAAACAAACACAATCAAATATGTGTTTTTCGTTAGGTTCATAATGATTTTTTCAAAATTATTGCATACACAAATTTTCGCTTGTCTTACTCGGCAAGAAGAGCGTTGCTATTTAAGCCAAAATAGCAAGTTTTACCTATTGGGCACGACATATATATAATATAATATATATATATAATATATATATAAAATATATATTATATATATATATATATATATATATATATATATACTTATATTATATAATATATATATATATATATATATATATATATATATATATATATATATAATCGAAATTTTCACAGGGATTATATTATCACTGACTGGTGGTGAAGAATGTACACGAAGCCTAAATGACCCTTGAGCAGTTGAACTGCTTTAAATATAATAAAGTAATCAACCCTTGCTTGAAATAGAACCGACAGTTTTATCTTCCCCACAGCCAAGCATTACTGTCTCACTGCTAGCGGGCTGGAAGCAACACCAACACTTCTTGGAAAAAAAAATCATTAATCAATTCTCCAAGTCTTTACTGAGATGAAATCTCCACGAGAATTAAATAATTTTAATATGGTTTTCTGTTAGTCATTAAGGAGCTTATCTGATACTGAAAACCCAAACAAAAGCTCCACATTGGAAAAAACTTGATTTTGAAATATCACCGGGTTTACCCCACACCTCTTCCTGTGGACCATGTCACAGATGCCAGTTCTTACCCTGAATTACAAATAAATAGGGAATGATGTTAATTTTGTGACTCAGATTATCCCAAACAAAAGAAGTATGTTTAGATACTCTCAAAGGAGCACTTGTAAATGTTTGCTTGTTTTCTTCATTTTCTTTCATTCTCTAATCTTTCATTTATAACTGAAGACCGCATCACCTGATCAAGAAGAGTTCGTGTACCTACTGACGTGTGCAGGTGCCCTATCATCAAGATTATGGAGCCTATTCCCATCTTCCCTGGAAAAGGTGTGATAACTTGCAAAAGCTTCTTCTGCTTGGCTTCTAACATTCAAAAAAATGCATCCTAATTCCATGAGGGCAGGAAGTGATACTAAAGTATGTAGATGTACATATCTCAATACTCAATTTAAAATTTAAAAGAACATAACTTTTATGAATGGCTTCTGTCTTTAATAGGTGATGCATATTATAGAGAGTAAACTACTCAATAAGACTGTGCTTGCTTGTGGTGGTTCAAGGTTGTCAGTATTCTAAACAAAATAATTTGGATGGAATAGAAACTGCATAACTGGAGAATGTCTCATCCCATTACCTGGAGTTTACCTGGAGAGAGTTTCGGGGGTCAACGCCCCCGCGGCCCGGTCTTTTGACCAGGGCCCCCTGGTGGATCAGCGCCTGATCAACCAGGCTGTTGCTGCTGGCTGCACGCAAACCAACGTACGAGCCACAGCCCGGCTGATCAGGAACTGACTTTAGGTGCTTGTCCAGTGCCAGCTTGAAGACTGCCAGGGGTCTGTTGGTAATCCCCCTTATGTGTGCTGGGAGGCAGTTGAACAGTCTCGGGCCCCTGACACTTATTGTATGGTCTCTTAACGTGCTAGTGACACCCCTGCTTTTCATTGGGGGGATGGTGCATCGTCTGCCAAGTCTTTTGCTTTCGTAGTAGAGTGATTTTCGTGTGCAAGTTCGGTACTAGTCCCTCTAGGATTTTTCCAGGTGTATATAATCATGTATCTCTCCCTCCTGCGTTCCAGGGAATACAGGTTTAGAAACCTCAAGTGCTCCCAGTAATTGAGGTGTTTTATCTCCGTTATGCGCGCCGTGAAAGTTCTCTGTACATTTTCTAGGTCGGCAATTTCACCTGCCTTGAAAGGTGCTGTTAGAGTGCAGCAATATTCCAGCCTAGATAGAACAAGTGACCTGAAGAGTGTCATCATGGGCTTGGCCTCCCTAGTTTTGAAGGTTCTCATTATCCATCCTGTCATTTTTTCTAGCAGATGCGATTGATACAATGTTATGGTCCTTGAAGGTGAGATCCTCCGACATAATCACTCCCAGGTCTTTGACGTTGGTGTTTCGCTCTATTTTGTGGCCAGAATTTGTTTTGTACTCTGATGAAGATTTAATTTCCTCATGTTTACCATATCTGAGTAATTGAAATTTCTCATCGTTGAACTTCATATTATTTTCTGCAGCCCACTGAAAGATTTGGTTGATGTCGCCCTGGAGCCTTGCAGTGTCTGCAATGGAAGACACTGTCATGCAGATTCGGGTGTCATCAGTTTTCTAATACTTTGTTATAGGGCTACATTGCTTCTAATTTGCCCATTTTATTAAATAAATTGCAATACTGAAAGTCACTCGATAACTAAGTAATACCGTTTTTGATCGTCTTCAAAATATTAGCGCTGATGATTCAATAAAAAGGGTGATGCCCATAAGTTTAGTCCCTGGGTATAAATCTGAAATTATCTTTATGGTATATTGTTAGAAAGATTGGAATCGTTGGATACAGATCAATTACTGTAGAATATCTTTTCTGATAGGCTTCAAACTTTCAGTGTTAGTAGGCTTTATTAAAGGAAAGCTATGCATTCACTTTGACTTAAGTAAATTTTTATTTGCTAATTTAATTAAATGAATTAGTTCACATGTAATAACTAGAAACTATTCTGATGAACTACAAACACTAAGAACTAGTATACTTAATGGGAAGTACTGTAGTATTGAATGTACACAGTGAAAGAGCCAATTCGCCAACTTTAATGAAAAAACTCTATTAAACTGAACGTTCTTATAAAAGCTGAATTATTTTTCTTGTAGAACTGTAGAGATTTCTAAATAGAATAAAATGAGAAAGAAAAACTGAGAAAATTGGAACTTTTCAT